TAAGTGAAGAAGATTAGCAAGGGGGGAACTAGCTGCTTTTGCTCTTTGGTTTGTCCTTTTTCTGCGTGTGTCAGCATTCTGTGAATACAAACCTTTATATTCAGTTAATTCCTTCCTTCGTGTTTGTTTGGACCTTTCACAAAGAGGCACAGAAGAAGGAGGCAATAAAAGCCAGGAATATGGTTGCAAAGCCACAAGAATAGGCAGAGATAACAACCTGGGATGTGTTGGAGATTTTTTTTTTGAGGAGTGTTGTTCCTTTTTAGACTTATGAAGTGGATTAGTTGAGAATATTCTAAGTATCTTCTGCCTGTCCTACTTAGTTCCACTCATTGATTTTATTTTTTTAATAAAGTTTTTTTTTTTTTTTAAAAAAAAGGTAGCTGCATGAGTAGCAGAAGACACAAAGCCCAGCCTTCTGTGGAGCTTGATCATTCTGTCAGTGCCCAGTAGAGGTTCTCTGGTGCTTGGTGGTGCAGGTTAGCCTACACTGCTGCGTGTCTCAGTGCAGGCCACTAACAAGTCTTTTCATTGTCCAGTCCAGTTCCATGAAATGTGTGAACTTGGTCACTTCGGGGACAGCACACTAGTCAAACTTGACTGAAAATGACTGGCATATCTCAGTAGAGATATGTGCAGCAAGATTGTATTTCCCTTGTTTGTTGACAAAATCAAGCTAAGTGATCTCTCAATCTTTTAATCTCCTTATAATGTCAGTAAATATAATTAACAGCTTAACTTGACATTTTACTTGAGAATCAGTCTCACAGGAAGAAATGCATATTAATCTTTGTAGTTCAGGATTCTGAAAAACCTCAAGAGCTGTTGACTGCTGCTGAGATGGTTAATGTCTGACTACAGCCCGCAGACTGCCTGGCAGCCGCGGCCTCTTTCCATGGCCAGCTCAGCAGCAGATACACCTCTGCATCTTTAGCCTTGCCTTCTAAGGGCACAGCTTTCTGCTTGTTGTGCTTTGTGCTCACTTTTAACCTTTTTTTTTTACCTTTTTCTGTGTGGCTTCCAAACTTTGATCTGTTGGTAGTTCTCAGTCAAGTTTGGCAGACAGGTGAAGATTCAAGAGACCAGCATTTTCATCAGCTTTCATGAAAACTGGTGACTGAGAATCCCATGGAGGGTTACTGCAGCTCACACTGATGTGAAAAACTGCTAATAGAAGTCCTTGTGTGGCCAGAAATCAGAGAATTTTGTGGGAGCTTGGTCTTACAAATAACACAGCCCAAGAAAGCTTCAGTAGGAGCTTGTTTTTAACCATGTGACAGGAGACTGTGGCAGACTGGACTTTGGTAGTTTTAGTGCTGATAGAAGTCCTCCTTAGAGTTGCTGTACAGAATTAAATGGACCTCCGCAGCTGAGAGAGCTGCTTCCTGTCATGTTTTCGTAGCTCTTCTGGTGGGTTAACGGCCTCAAGTGAAACAGCAAAGCCAAAGCAGTTGTGTTGCTGATGCTGAAAGACTGCAGGCTGGGCACTGCACATGTGGTTACTTGTGTTCCACTGGGAAGTGCTGGGCTGTGTGATGTGCCCGCGATGCAGCTGCAAGGCAGGGAGAATTCAAAAGCAGAGCAGCTAGTGATAGTGTGACCTTCGCGTTGGAAAGGCTTCCTCTCCTTTGCACCCCTGCAGGCAGCAGCGCTTCTTAGGGTTTATCATGGAATGTCACATGTCGCATTTTTTAATTTTCTGCCCCCTTCTGCCTTCACAAATCACAAAATTTACAGGGATTTTTTTGTCTTTGCAATTGGAAAATGTAAAGGCTTAATGATCTTGCACAAGCAGTTCAAGGGAAGAGCAATACAGTATGCATTTTTTAAGCCTGTTACCAACATTTACAATTTTGGTGTAAGAATGTACAAAACAGAACATAGGATAAGTAAGTTTGGTCTCCAGTGGCGAGTATTGCTTGCTTGTATAAATTGCTATTATGGACTTGGAGGTCAGCAGTGTTTTCTCTTAAACTGTGCTGCATCAAAGCATGTATATGCACATAAGCTGAATTATCCTTAGAGACAAACAATAGCCTTTGTCTTTTTTTTCCTCCATGCCCCTCACTTTATCTCCCAATTTTTTAGTAGTGCTAATTCAGAGAGAGATGTATGAATCTTATTTCCTGAAAGTTTAGCAAGTGTTATTCCTGCTTTTCCATAGGAAGTAGAAACCATTGATAACAAGCAGAGAGCTTCTCCATTAGGTTTTTATGAAAGTAATCTTGCTTCCTCCCCATTGTCGTTGATTTAAAAATTAAAATGGCATAAGCCTTGGGACAGAGAAGACAATCTTTTGAATATAGACCACTGTAATGCTACCTTACTAACCCTGAAGATGGCCTAAACCAAGGAAGAGATGGATGTTCTAAAAGCAGTAGGGCATTAATTCTGCAGCATCTGTCACATTAACGTTGTTCCCATGTGAATGGCTCTTATGGAAAAGCTCCACTCATTTTAAAATGTAAACTAAGAGCTTATATATCTGATTTGAGTAACCTATTTTCAGGGTTTTTTTAAATGATTTAAGCCAGCCTATGCTATTCTGAGTCAAGTCACCCCATAGACTTCTGCTCTTAGTTTTAGTTTTCTTTAAATTTGGTTTAATGAAATGGTTCTGCTTCTAATTAAAAGTGGTATCTTTTAAAACCTGACCCCATGCTATGACAAAACCAAATCTGTGTAAACAATACCTCATGTGCAGTCTACAAACGTGCTAGTCCTCCAGTGAGATCTTTATGGGAAGGCTTGCGGTTAAGGCTGCAGAGGGTGTTTAAAGAGTAATCAAAGGGTGGAAGAAGGAAAAGGAAAGAAAAGGCATGTGTGAGAAGGGATGAGACTACAGAGGACTTTGTTATAATGCTGTAGTCTTATAAGTGTGTGACTGTCTCACATAGCTCTGCTGTTGTGGAGACCTGGCGGATCTTGGCTGTGTGGTGACCTCTGAAGCCACTCAGGCCAGCCTCTGGATAGGTGGCATTTACCAGCATAACGGAAATCTAAAGTCATATTCAAGTTGAGCCGTGCGTTTGATTTACAAGCTGCTTTGGATGTTACATATGGCAGTAGGTTTGTTGCTCTGTCAGCAAACAAATCACATTCCTGAACATTGCCACCAATTAAATGTATGGTTATAAGAAATGTAACGGTTGACTTCAGCAACCTTCACTTAAACAGCTATAGCACTTAACCTTTTTGTTCTTAGAAGTCAGTGTTTGCATGCTTGGAACTAAAATATTTAGTGGAAATAGACTAAAGGGAGAGGTTTGTCTTGCCTGTGGAAACATCACTCTCTACTTTTCCTGGCTCTTGTACTGTTCTGAGAATCAATTGCAGAGCACTGTTTTATTTGGCTGTGGGACTAGGGCCTCGGGTGCAAGCCACTATCAATAGCCCCTAAAGCAAAACATCAAAAATTCCGAACTCTGTTGATGTTGATTCAGTGCAGAGTGGGGCCGAGGCTGCTCCACTGCGTCCTGCACGCTGAAGATGGAGTATAAGGCTAGATGGATCTCTGGTATGATTTGGCACAGCAGGTCTTGTTGCAGGTGCTGTGAGGTCCCAGGTGAGTGAGCAGGTGTAACAAGACCCATCTGTCTTCTCAAAGTGGAGAAAGGGGATGCTGGGACAGAAGGTAGAATCCAGATGATAACCCAGCTCTTTCTAATGGGAGCACACAATACAGACTTGGTGATATTTTTGGTCTCTTTAAAATTAGATTTAAAAAAAAAAAATCAAAATCTTGTCTGTGCTGTATGCGGTAGTTTAGAGGGCCCTAATATTTACATTTGTTTTCTTTATCTTCAGCCTAATGAAAAAAAAATAGTGAGATGAGAGGAAAGCAGTCCTTTGCTAAAGCTAAATGTAAATCTCTCTTAACTCAGGATTACCTGATAAATTAAACCAAGCAAATTCAGTTTAGCTACTTGCCTGATTGTTTGCAGGCTGTAAGTCAGATATTCTCAGGCCTCTGTCTGGTCATAATCTTGCTTGAAATCAAGTCCAGCTTTCATGGTCTCCAAATTAAAGCAGCATAAGCTAAATGATGGGTTACAAGTGTTGGTAGTGACACCCAGCTATGAGTAAAGCCAGAGCACTTTCCTGTGCAGGGATGTAGTACCCCATGTGGAGGTAGAGTGGTGTCCCACTCAAATGGTTAGAAACAATAAGACCTCGACATGCTGGATTGAAATGGTGAGGCAGAAAGGTGGGCCAGCAGTTTTAAGGAGAAGGGGGAAGTGGACATATTTCTGAATCTGACAGGCATTGTTTAAATTTTTTTTTGTTTTTCTAGGTAGAAAATTGGTGAATTCCAATAGTGAAGGCCCAGTACCAGTGATGACAAGCCTCCTGAGCTTTAGGATAAATTACACTGAAGGATGTATCCATGAGAAAGCAGGAGGCCCAGACTGGCTCAAGAGTTTTGCAGACAGAACAGTAGGACTTTGCATCTTGTCCACCAGGTTTCTGATAGCTGACAGGAAAAAGAAGCCCAGCAAGAGCATGTTCCCAAGGGGCAGTTGTTCTTCAGACAGGCAGGCAAATATTTAAAGAATGGAAGATGCTGTCAGTCAAAACCAAGGCTTATGTTCTTGCCTGCTTTGTGAGTCACAGTTTCTCAGTTTACTTTGCCTGCAGTGACTTGCTTAGTTCATTGCAGTAACGTTTTTCTAGATTGCTAGTTGTCAAGGTTTAGGGCCATCCACTAGACCTTTAACAGATGCTCTCTATTAAGCTCTCTACCTCCCCAAAGGGGAAGAGAAAGGGACTAACAGAGAGAGACTTATGGATTAGAAAAGAAACTAAAACAGCTTTAATGAAAATAGTAACAATAAGATTAAATATATATAAATATATACAGAACTGGTATTGAACCCAACCCCCCTGATGGCAGTTACCTCACTGCCACCACTGACGCTGTGGAGCAGGCTCTGGCTAAAGTCCCATACTGGACTCAGTGGCAGATGGAAACCAGAGTCAGGAGCTGGATTCAGGAACACATGGATTGGTTTCAAAGGCAGATCAGACAGAGTCCTCCTCAGATACCGGCCGCTGAAGAAGGGAGCTTGATGCTTATGATCCCTCAGCTTTATGCTGAATACGATGCCTATGGGATGGAACACCTCATGGGTTGGTTTAGGGTCACCTGCCCTGCCTGATTCTCCCTGCAGGTGTGGCCTTTTACTGTGTGCACCCTCCAATGTGGCACACAAGATGTAGCAGTGACCTGGGTCTGCACACCATCCTTGGTGGTAACATGGTGCATTATCACTGCTAGAAGCAGACGCTGTCTGTGAAAATCTGCTGTTAACTTCAGACAGTGCAGTTACTTAGAAGAGACAGAGGTGAAAAGTCAAATCACTAAACAGAATCAGTTCTGTTCTAACTCAAACCAGGACACTAGTGAAGGTTTTGGCATGTTGAAGATGTTTCCCTGATTCTGAAGCAAGAATGCAATATTAATTTCACTTGTTTTTAGTGTTTCAGGTTCGCAGTACTCTTGCTTTTGAGATGTATTTTAATTATTACTTGCAACTCAGGCTTGTGGCAATGTGTGCATATCATTAATTTTTGTCACTTTATATTTCTAGGTCCACTGGCCTTCTTTCCTTGGTGGAAGCTGAAACATTATGATGTTATTGTGGGTGTTCTGTCAGCTCGACACAATCATGAACTGCGCAGTGTTATAAGGAGCACTTGGTCCAAGCACCTGAAACAACATCCTGCACTGAGCCAACGGTAATCTCTAGTGTTTTGGAATCTGGGGCTGGTGTGAAGGGATAGTGCTTATGTATCTTGATTGTATATATGTACTTATGTATAGTGCTTAAATATCTTGATTTAGTCTTTTTTTTTTTTTCTTCCTTTGCTTTATCTGTGAGCATCTTGTACTCTTGATCATTTAAAAAATCTACTTAGTGATATATAAGGATACTTCTTGTTCTGGGCTGTGACTGTTTTTTATACAAGGAATAAAATGTAATTGTTTTTGCTGAGTTGCTACTCTTCATTAGTGATGTATAAGAGTTTCCCTTTTCTGTGTTGCAATGTACACTTTGTATAGTATGCAACTTGAAATACCTAGCATTCCAGGATACTTGAAAGCAGGCAGGATCATGTTTGGTGAGAAAACCATGGAAAACTTCCAACAGCCTCAGCTGTAAAGTTTGGGTTTTACCAGGTGCACCAAACTGCTGCAGGGTGACTGACCAGCAGAACCCTTCCTGATTGCTCGCATAGGCCTGAACAGTCACAGACAGCTCTGCTCTTGGTGAGGAAGTTCTGCTGCTGTCCATTCCTAGGAACATTGTCATCTTGATGGGCCTCATCTTGGTACCTGCCTTGCACTGAAAGCCGTTTACCCTTCACAGATTAGGTGGCAGCATGCAGTTTGGAGGGAAGCATAGCTACTTCAGCCATCTGAAAATGGGACCTTTCGATAGCTTGTATGGAGTTCCAGGAGGCTATCTAGTTGCTGAGTGAAAGGCTAGACTCAAGTGGATCCTCCTGCTCTTCATACTGCTCCTAACTGTGGCACAACCATGATTGAGGCTGGAAAGAGCAACCTGTTGCTTTGTTACAACCCAAAATTGAGACATTTAATTCTAACAAATAGTCTGGAGTCCTTGTTCTTGCTTTTATGCCATGTCTTTTTTCTTCTTGCTATTTTTTAAAATTGCCTTTTGAATGCAGAATATTTAAAGAGTCTTGAAATGAATAACAAAGCCAGACAGGGAGAGGCAAGTCTTCAGGATCTTCAGCATTGCCTTAGGTCTTTTTCTGTTCAGTGTGCTGGCTGTCTGAAATCCTGTTCCTAGTTGCCACTCTTCCTGCGTCCTCATTATGAAACATAAAGGGCCAATGTGGGTTTGGAATTGAGCCCCTATGAGGGAATTCATGTGGCTATTAGACATTGCTGATTAAGGGGTTCCAAATCTTTAACCTGTGAAAGACAGGCTGTTGTGATGAACTAAGTTTATTGAAGACGGAGGGAGGAGGGAAGAGAACTGGTGTTAATAAAGCCAAATTATTTTAGTGTCCTTGTCAAGTTTATAATAGGTGCTCATGGTTGTGCTGTGCCACTGGATGACAGAGAAGACCCCTACTCCTGCAAACTTCTGAACATCAGTAACCCAGGTATAGAAGTTAACTTATTAAACGTCTTTTCTGAGAGTCGTTCGGTGTGCAAGGTACCAGTCTCAAGTGTCAGATGGACTTCTGGGTGACAAAGTGCATTCTAAACAAGTCTGGCTGATTGGGTTTTCCAGATTCCACTCTAGAGAGAGCAATTAAGAAATGTACAGTGGGGGGAAAATGCTGCCATACAAAAATTCTTGACTAAAATTGTAAATTCTTCCTGTCTTTCTTTTTCATATTTAATTTTTGCCTTTTAATTGCAAGTTAACTAAGGACTTAAGCCAATAATTCACTGTAAAATGAAACTTCTGTTACTTTCTCATTGAATGGCAACATTCACTCCTTAACCAGTCTCCAAAGAATAAATGGTACCTCGGGGCTTAGGGAGATGATAAAGCCCAAAAGCAGGCAGCTGAATTAAGTGGAGGTGTATGCCATTTGGATACATGCAGAATTATTTTAATATGATAATATACAGATATTCATGCAGTCAAATAGCATTTTTATCTTCACTCTGTGGATTTATTGTGTTTCTAGTCTTTTCCCTGTGGAAATTGACTTGCAGTATTGACTTGCCACTGCTGGTAGCCTGCAGATTGCTGCATCACTCTGGGTTTCTCTTTGCTGCAGTCTGCAGCCAGTTGTGTTTTCTCCTCCAGCGTTTGATTGTCCTTGTGCACTTGAGAGCTGTGCTAACTAATCAGAATCCACTGCATGTTTCCAATGTGCTTGTGTGTATCCAGTTCAAGACCTGAAGTCTTCTCACATCACCTCTGTCCTTTCTTTTTCATATAGTACTGAATCAGGAAATTGAAGCTTTCAGTCTCCCTGAGGATGTACCTTCTGTGCTATCTGAAGACAGAATTGTCAGTGTGAACTTCCGTGTACTTTACCCCATTGTCATTACCAGTCTTGGGGTATTTTATGAGGCTGATGGGGTGGGATTCCAGAGGAACATCACTGTAAAACTGTACCAGGCAGAACATGAGGTAGAGTATTGTGGTTATCTGTGGACTAAAACATGTTGTCTCTTTATTGTGGATTAAATTCTTATAGAAAGCGAAATGTTGTGTTGATGATTTAGAAGAGAGCACTTAACTGACAAGCATAAGAATTGTATTTTTCTTCTGCTGCATTGTAAATTCTTTTTTTGCAGAGATATAGATGTACACACACACACATATCCCAGATGAGGAAAAGATGAAATCCATAATGAGTTAATTTAAATGCCCTTTTCAAAGAAAACTTCTATCTAATTCCAAGACACCATTTTGATTGCATTTGAGGTTCTAAAGTATTGATAGGTATTAAGGAATTAAAAGAAAATCAAATGTTGAATATATTTAAAACAGATGTGCAGAAAAACATTTGCCTTCAGGCAGAGAGATACAAGGCAGCTGTAAGTTTTTCTTGTCTGTGTTCTGGCAAAACATTCTGAGATTTCTAGAAATTGGTATTATTTACAGGTAATAATCAAGCTTCAATGAGAATTCCCTCCAATCCCAAGATGTTATGGGTTTAATAGAATAGCTTAGTGCTAACCTGGAGGAAAAAAATAATTGAGTATGATTGTTGTATTTGGTATGTTGCATTTATCTCTATCAAGGGGCCAGTTTCAATGAATGAAAAATTCCTCACTAGTGCTGCTAGAAAAGGTATAACCAAAATAACCATGTCTACTTGGCAGGCCAATTTCAAGACTTCTGGCTATGCTACAGTAGAAAGAATTTTAAATTTAAGCTAACAATTAAAATTAAGTACAGAAACTATACTGAATTTTATGGCTTTTATGATGAACTTCCAAAGATTTGGGTTTATAATAGCAAAGAAACCCCTATCCTGTGTTCAAGTTTGTTTGCTAAATGGTAGAAATCTAAATGTTGAGAGCCTATTAAGTTGATCTGCATTAGCTTTTTACTTCCACTGGAGGAGAAAAAGTAGTCTCATGGGAGTGCTTGGAGACCATTTTCTGAGGATTTGGACTCTGGCAATGGAGCGTCTTTATGTTGTTTGTTATTATCTAAGAGCCACTCGGTGGCCTATGTAATATAGTAGCAATTAAGTTTTAGGGGTTAACATCCTCTGTTGCAATTAATAGTAGTGAGCTACTTAAACTGAAATTAGGAAGACTGTAAACTGGGAGGTGTGTCTGAGTCTTCCGGATGATGTGCTGTGTTGGTTGGATTCTGGTTGGTTGGATTCAAACAACTTGCACTCGTTGTTTGCACGTCCATTGTTGTTTGCTTCCACCATACCAATCCCACACTTGAATTCTGTGAAGTCTGAGACCATTGTGAGAATAAAACCTCCACTGTTTCATAGAATCAATAAGCATGTTTCCATTGTAACCAACTGAGATGATCAAGATTTGCATAATCTCACAACACTTCTAATGTGTGGTTTATTTTTCTTTCTTTTCTGTCATTCACAGGAAGCTCTCTTCAGTGCTCGCTTTAGTCCACCGAGCTGTGGAGTGCAAGTGAACAGGTTGTGGTACAAGCCAGTAGAGCAGTTCATTTTGCCAGAGGTATGTGCAGTTACCAAAACAGCCTGCAGTGCTTTTGACTAGAGAGATTGGCTGATACAACTGGCCTTTGCTTGAGGCAGGAGAGGGCAAGTGAAAGCCTCTAGAACGTTACTTGAGGGGGTATGCTGAAATCCAGAATTTCTTTTTCACCATCTCATTATCGCCAGTAGTTATAAGGCAAAAGGCTGAAAAATACAAATGGATTAAAAAATGACATTGACAAATAGTACCAATTTCAGAAACCTTTTCATTTTGAGTGAAAATTGTACCTGCTTCAATTCTGTGGGAGAGTTCACTGGAGAATGGGACACTTGTTTCCCCCTCCTTCTTTTTCAGACAGTAGTACACAAGATAGAGAGGGGAGGAGCGCACAGATTTCTAGGGAAGAGCTGGAAAAGAGGTTTCTGCTTCTGATAACTTGGACACAACAGCAAGATTTTGTGTGTAATGTTTGCAGTGATGGTATTAGTTGAATAGTTATAATTTAGACGCTGTTACTGAGGGCTACTGAAATTTTGGTCATTCATTTTCTGGCAGCAATCGTAAGGAATTTTTCATTCATTGAACCACGCAAGGGAACGAGAATTAGAACTTCAGGAAGATCTTTAGTAGGGTCTAGATGGAGTAGATGGCACAGAGAAGACTGACATTTTGGTTTTTAAAACCTGCTAACGTCCTATGGCAGAAGTGGCTTCTCTTTTTTTTTTCCCCTAAATGAGCACCCCTCAGGAATTTGGAAGAAGACTGCTTCTGCTTTTTGGACAGTAATGAGCATTAGTGTTCTTGATTGTCCTGAGATACCATTAGCTAAGCTAATGAGGTAGAGTCTAAAATCTTTTTTTCTTTAATCCTCTTTGGGATTGGGGCTGCAGTCCAAGAGTAGCATTTTGCTATAGAGGATATGGAGTCTACTTGTGGCTGCTTAGGAAGGAGTGTGTTTAAACTCAGAAGGAACAGAATATAGGCAGAAAAAGCCTGATGTTGTTACAGGGAAGGTTTAGTGAACACGAGTTGACTTGGAATGAGAATTCTAGTTCAACAGACCCTCCCGGGTAAAAGGAATTGTTCCTGGTGGGCTGGTGATCTCTCATGAGATGTGTCAGCTGCCACTTTAGGCTTTTTCTCTTCATTTAAGTATCCTTCTATTAGACTGGGCCCTTGCTGTTATTTCTGTTTGTTGTCTTTGGGCCTGGGTTGTTTTATTATGCAATAAATTGTTTTGTGAAAGAATAGAGCAAGAGAAGACTGAAGTGGGAGGAGAGGACTTCTGGGGCCAGTTTAATCATTCATTTATGCCTCTGGCTCTAGAAGAATGCATGCATTTGGAAACTTTATTTTAAGGGAAATCTGAAGGTGATTAATTGGTTTATCATCTTAAACATTTTTTACTCAATACTGTGCAAGTTTATGCTGGCAGGAGACCTCTTGGGTGCACAATAGTTTGTGCATATGTTTTGACAAGCTAATTTGAAACCAAAATGATTCAGGGATTTTTACTTTTTTAAAGAGAGTATTGTTTACCCACTAATTCGGTGGAATAACATGTAAGACTTTGTTCCAAGATACTAAAATTCTAGGCAGTTGTAATTTTGCTATAAATGATTGCATTTTTCCTGAGAAGCAGATGGGAAGTATTTCGTTTATAAAGGGGATATTAGTATTCATATATTTCTTTGTGTGGGCTTCCTTAATCTGACTTGCCGTGCGCTGAATGCTTACAGGAGAACATGATGTTTCTAATGTAGATTAATAGGGCTTGTGCACAGCATGTAGTCTCCTGTGATACTTAGGATGCTGAACCATACTAGATGATTCAGAGCAGATAGGACGCCCACATGTTCCTATCTGCTTGTTTGAGAGCAGTAAATTTAGTGAACTGTTTAATTGTCTCAGGATGGTTTCTGAGACAGTATCTCTTCTCTGCCTTCCACCTTCAAGCAGTAATGGATTGTCCAGACTGCTGAAGAGCTTCATTTATCTTCCAGCTGCAGTGCTGCTCTTTTGGCTCATTTTGGGGAAAGGGAGGGAAATGCAGCATTAGAATAAGCATCTGTCAGGCCAGATTGTCAAAGACAGAATCAATCATTCAGCTTGGGAACGACTGAAAGCACGGAGGGGCAGAAGCCCTAGCAGATAACTGGAACTCACACAGGGACTCTTACAGCCAAGTCTTAGCAATGCACTTATTTTGTCAAACGCACAGGCCGCTTGCATGAAAAGGGGACTCCGTGCTGGGCCTGTTCTGTGTTACTAGTGGGGAGCAGTTGGAGGAGCAAAAAGCACCCTGCGCTTCCACGTCAGGAGAGGGTTTGGCAGGGCTGCACCTTACGTCACGGCACCTCTTCGGGACTCGCTGCGGCAGCAACGAGCCTGGGATTTAAATGGCAAAACCAGATGATGTAGTCTCGGGTGTGCTCCTCATGTTTTGCTTTAAGCATTTCCAGGCCTTCGCTTTCATTAAGCAGCTTAGAGAAAGAATAGCTGAAGGATGAAGTCATTAGAAAATTTGCTTACAAGTCTGGCAACCTGCAAAGTAATGACAGTTTGCAGCTTTAGGACACCTTGCAGGTGTTTTGGACATGTACTGATTAAAACTCTCAGTACATGTTTGAACTCAGTATCAGTAATAGTCAGCGGTGAGAATTTTAATGGTTTTGTTGCTGAGGAATGAAAGGACTCTCCGGATCACTAAACAACCTGCCAAAGGTTGTGTCTGTAAAACAGGCACCAAAATGGGATTAGAGCCCAGTCCCTACAGCAGAAAACATTGGAACGGGAGGTGAAGCCACTGCAAATGGAGAAACTGAGCCTGTGGTGGGTGCAGGGTGTTCAGGTGTTCTGCCGCTAAGAAAAGTCTTAGTAGTGCTCCATTTGTTTTGATAACTGACAGGTAATTAAACAAAAAAGGGGAAGGTATTGAGCATGCACGTCAGGCTTGAATAAACTCTGACGGGCTCCATTATTAGATTATAAAACTGGCATTATAAGTAATAAATGGGAGACTTGTAAGATACATAGTTGTCTGGGGAATGTTTCTGGAGTACAGTGAGGCTAAAGTGGGGAAGAGCTGAGAGGCTAATACAAGTAAGCAGACTTTCTACAGCAACAGAGATATATCTACAAGTATCTGAAACTAATGGTTTCTCTGTTCCAAGGTCTGCACTAACTACTAGTGTTTTTCCCGTGAAATTAGAAGAAACAAAACGGAATGCTCTCATGTAGCAGTGAGGAGTAGACCCTACTACCCTATAATAACTTGTCGTAGGGGTGAAACTGCCTTAAAATATTAAAAAATATAATACTATCAGTACACTTACTTGTACAATGTACCACTTTCCCTTTGCATGTTCTCAGGGGCCTTCAGGAAAGTCTTATATAAAACGGGTAATAGTTGGACTGTTAGATGGATTAGTTTAAAGTTGAGATGAAATGTTCTTAAATGCAAGAATTAGCACATATGCACACATATATAAAAAACATGGAGTGATGTAACTTGACAGTTAAAAACAGAATTTTTTTTAGATATTCACTTGTTTTTCTACTCTTTTCCATACCAGCCAAGATGTGAGGTCAGAGTTCTGTGACTCTCCTACAGTAGCTTGTGACAGCTTTGCCAGGATAAAGGTGGCTGCATTTTCCTTGTGAGTTTTGCTGATGTCAGGATTGAGTCTCTGATCTCTGGTTTTGGCAGATAACTAAAAAGCAGCACCTATTCCAAATATCTTTTAATGTATTCTCTTTGTATTACGGGATTTTATAGTTTATTTTTGAAAATTCACTTCAGGTCACCCTTAAATGCCATGTTAATGATGTTAGAAAGCCAAAGCCTTTTATGTTAGACTTCTGTTAAAAGTTTGATGTTCCTAATATAGAGATTCATGATTAGTCTTAAGAGCATGATTATGTTACTGAGGTTTAAAGACTTATTTCTCTTACGTGTAACTTACTTTTACTGAAGTGTAAGTAAAACATCTGTGTTGTATGGTCAAGCTCTATGTTGCATTAAGTTGACTTAAAAAAAACAAAACCAAACAAATTGATTTTCATCCTTTGAAGACTTTGAATATTTGGATAACAGTGTTCTGCTCTCTTGCCAGAGTTTTGAAGGTACCATTGTGTGGGAAAGCCAGGATCTTCAGGGCCTCGTTTCAAGAAACCTTCATAAAGTGACGGTGAATGATGGAGGGGGTGTTTTCAGAGTCATTACAGTGAGTCACCTCACCTGCACTTCCACCATGTTCCTGTTCTTCCTATAAGTCTTGGGCTTTTCGCATTTTGCTTTCCTGTGTTTCTCTGTAAATTGTTAATCAGTTTGGCTTCGCCTCTTGTCTCAGAGGGGAAATTTGCTTTGTCTGGGAAAAGGACAAGGGCATGCAAAAACTGATGCAGGGAGTAAAGTTCATCTGTTGTCTTTGTCAGGTGTGAAGTAGTATCAGTGTATCGGAGGTGGCAAAATGTGGGTCAAAAATGCTGTGCTAAAATCCCAAGCAATGTGATTAAGGCCTGGTTTTTGCTTTTTGGCAGTATATCTCTTCCAGTCAAAAACTGCTTAAACATGCTGTGCCATTTAGCCAGAATAACTTCACCTTGTGCTTTCAGCTTTGAAACTCGTTGTCTAAAAGTTCAGTAGTACTGCTAGTTTTGGGTGAAGCTTCAAAAAACACAAAACCTTACAATTAAAAATCTTAGGAATCTTAGCCTTTCATTATGCAGGTACCTAAACCAGAAGAGCTTTAAACTATTTTCATTCTCGGTTGCCAGAAAACTACACACCTTAAAACTTTAGGGAAAAACACATCCACAGTGAGAGATGAACAAATTTATTTTTTGCCATTAATGTGTCTCTAGCAGGCAGGAGAAGGCTTGCTGCCACATGAACTCACAGAGGGTGTGGAAGGAATAGCGGGTGGTTTTATCTATACTATTCAAGGTAAGTTTGCAAAATGTAGAATCACATTTGATGTTATGATAAAACAGGAACTTTTGCATTTCTGAGGTAAAATTTGTGCTATCTTTATGAACTTGATTATCTTAGGTTTTCTTTTAGGAGAAACAATTAATTTATTTGTTTTTTTTATGCCCATCAGTATTCTTGCAATATTTCTTTAGCTTTTACCTTCAGTCAGTTATGTGATGTGGTTCAGTAGAGACCACATATGCTACATCAAAGCAATGACAAATTTATTACATTTAGCACAGGAATTTTTTGTTTGTTATGGTGTTTAGTTTTTTATGCCAGATATATGTACTGAGGAGTAACTGATGTTAGCAGTCACTTTTTTACTCTACTGGTAAGAGTAATAGTGAATTCCTAGACAGGCCGTTATATTAAAGAACCTTAAAAAGCTGAATCCTTTTATGGCTGAAAAGGAAGAGAGTACTGTTTTACTTTAAACTGTCTGTATCAGGCCTTACACAAAAATAGATTTCTGTGTTGTTCTACAACTTTTAACATTTTGCAGAAATTTTTCAATTAATTGTAGCATTTTCATAACCTCATTGAGTTGAACTCTTCTTCAGATTGATGTTGTCAGCATGTCATGTACAACCCAAGAGACAGTCTGGATCTGTGTCTAATGATGGTGCTCTTTCCTTCAGAAGGTGATGCTCTTTTAAAAAGTCTCCATACTCGCCCAGAAAGGTTTACAAGTCACATTAAAAATCTTGAAGAAGAAGATGCTTTATTGAAGGAAGAAAGCAGTACCTATGACGATATTGTTTTTGTAGATGTTATTGACACTTACAGAAACGTTCCAGCCAAGCTGCTGAACTTCTACCGATGGTAAGTTGAAAACAAAGTATTCTCTCTTAGAATGTTGCTGTTCATAGTGCAAGGTGATCCAGTATGTTACATTACCTGACAGGTTCCATGAAATACATGCCTTACGTGACTGATTTCATTAAGCTGTACTTCTCTCTCACATTTTTGGGGGGATGTAGTGAGTAACATAACAGGATCTGTATTTCTTGAACGCTGAACCTAGGTGCCTCAAATAAGCATGAGCTGGCAAGACAGGCTTCTGCTCTAGGAGTCCAGGTGTGAAAATTTTGCCATCTCCTTGTAATTTCCTTTGATTTCTTTGAGTGAAAACTAGCAGCTTTAGTCTTTCGAAGGATGCCTTTTGGCCTGCTTGTGTACTTAGTGTTTCAATTTGTGGCCATTGACTCTTGTGCTGTTGCTAGGCACCACTGAAAACAGCCTGGCTCCCTCTCTTTACACACTCCCTTCAGGTACTTGTATACATTGATGAGCTCCCTGCTGAGCCTCCTCTCTCCAGGCTCAACAGTCCCAGCTCTCCCAGCCATTCCTCTTAAGAGATGCTCCAGTGGCTTAATCATCTTGGTGGCCCTTTGCTGGACTCTCCATCCAGTATGTTTGAGTCTCTCTTGTACCGAGGTACCTAAGACTGCTCACTGTACTCCAGATGTGGTCTCACCAGTGCTGAGCAGAGGGGAAGGACAGGCAGCTTGTGTACAGGGTGGGGCAGAAGGTTGAAAGGAAGAATTTTCACAGTATATTTCATTTGTGATGAATGTAATAAGGTATAACTTCTATTTTGTAATTCTCGTTCTTACGCTGAGGCAACTGTTTCAATTAATTGTTGTTGCTGTGGAGTAAGAAATACAGCTGACAGTTTTAGTTGCTTGCAAGATTATGCACTTATTTAACAAACTTCATGGCTATGAATGTAACTCAAAAACTGAAGCATACTTTCAGTTCTAAAAAGGGAGTTTAAATGTAAAGATTTAGGTCTTTGTGGTCATTTCTTACAGGTTAGCAAATTTTTCCAGATTTAGTAATAAAGGTCTTAAGGAAAATGCCTTTCTTGTTAAGAGAAATTACCCTTAAAAACAATGTTGCTTGATCAGCCTAGGAATAATCCCTAGAATTTTAAGCTTCTTTGGTTATTTTACAAGTGACAGATATTCCGCCATTTCAAAGAGTTAAAGATTACTTTTTTGCACAAAGAGTGCTTTACTGAGGAAGAGCGAGTACCAAGTTGTTTTCACAGATGTTTTACAACCTTCTACAGTTGTATTGCCTTTGGACTGACTGTTTCATCCTGAAGAGTAGGCTACTGACAGGTAGCCACTTGCTTTTAGCAGCTGTGCTGCCATCATCATCAGGGATTCATATCCTTCTGAGGGCAGATTCGTTAATAAATGCACCATCTGTCCTGGAGAACAAAACTTCAAGTTTTAATTCAGCTCGTACACAAATCCATGTTGTAAGATCATCATAGGATGCAGCTGCATCTCCCTTCAATAGGATGAGCAGTCAGCCTTGGTCAACAGGGAAAACATTTAAAAGTCAAGGGTATGAAAGATGTTCCTTTTCCTTCCCCCTCTGCTTCCTAAAAACCCTTGTGGAGCGTTCTGTTGTGTAACTAATTCGTGGGCTGCAGCTCAGCATCTCATCACTTTTCTTTTTGGCTACAGGACAGTTGAATCAACGAGTTTTGATTTGTTGCTGAAGACAGATGATGACTGTTACATTGATTTGGAGGCTGTTTTTAACAGGATAATGCAGAAAAAATTGGACAGGCCAAACATTTGGTGGGGAAAGTGAGTTGTTTTTGTTTTTGTTTTTTTTTTTAAAACTTGTCTTTAAGAGATACCATGTCTTTAGTGAACAGTTTACTGCTTTCAGTCTGTTTTCATGTGAGTTCCCCTTTTCTACCCTATGGAAGCTGGTTATAAAAAGCAGAACTTTTGTACATGTAGAAATTTGAACCTCAGAATACACAAATCAGTCCCTCACAACAGCTTTCCAGAGTGTGCCTTTACAAGGAGTTGACTTGCTGAATGTCTTGCCTAATTTTAACGTGTCATGTATGTCTCTGCCATAGTACTTAAGTAAATAAAAGTATTCCAGCAGTACAGTGATGTTAAAAGCCAGTACATACTATAATTATGTTACTTTTTTGAAGCCGATGATTTTTTTGCTGGGTTGAAGAAATGGGGTAAACATAAGAAACAAAATTGCCTTTATAGCCTGCACTTTATTTTGAAGCCTGTGAATGACAGGTGTTGCTACCCATTTTGCTGCTGTCTGAAATGGTAGATGTGATTCATGAATTCTTGAGTGAGGTTCCTCAGCCTCTATCACCTTGTGAATAACTAGGAGGCTCCAAATAGCCCATCTCTTCCACCTATGGCACGTGTTGCTACGCTGGTGGAACCAATGTGGCAGGATGCTACACTGCTGTACCATTTAATATCCCACAGTGGCACCATGTGTCTCCCTGTTGCCATCTCATTGAAGCAAAGCTGCCTTTGCTGCTCAAGGTGACTCGCTTTACAAACCTGGTGCTGACTCTTGCCTACCTGTAAGGTGATTTAATAAGGTGTGTGTGGAATAGCTGGCTATCTTGTGATGATCTCAAAGATCTGAGTGGTGGGCATCCATTCCCTAGCCTGTACAAAAACCCTGATTGCCTGGTGCCTGTCAATTATTTGGGGGCTGCCTTTACCACAAGGCAAGGCCAATAGTGAAGATAAGATAGGTTCATTCTAGCAATGTAAAAGGTCAGGAACTCGATGACAATGTGGAAGCCAACTTGCAAAAGCAAAAACAGCACTTTGTGTAAGCAGCCTGGGCTACTGTTCTGGCTGATGTCGGGAAAGCTCTTCTGGAGTATCTTCTTGGCTGTAAGATCTGACAATGTGTTAGAAAGGTATCTCCCTCCTTCTCCCTAGTGCCCCTATCTATGCAATGGTATGTGTCCCTACCATTGTGTTGCTGCCTACTATGGGGCTGCTCCTTGGACAGAGTTTTCTGGTTATGTGTTCAGCTTTGTGGGTAAGCATTGGGTGTACAGGAGGCTTCTCGGTGTTTTTTGGGGGGACCCTTCCAAGCTCTCCTTTTCAACTTAGTGATCCCTTGTATATTTAGACTTGAGCGTTAGTGGAAGGGCAAATGAAATGCTGTTAGGATTCTCTGAGAGCTGGTTCTGGTCTGGTCTGTGGAGACCTGAACTTCCTGAGCAGAAGGTGAGTGTATCTGGCCCTTGCAGTGATGTTATTGATGGTCTACCTTCCTTCTGCTCCTCTGAACATGTGTCCAAGAACTGACTTGGCGTTCTTCACCTATACCTTGTTAAGCTCTCTCTAGTTCAGACAATTTGTTTGTTGTCCAGTGTTCCTTATAATCTGTTAATACTTAATTCCTGTATTACTAGAGAAACTTACTGGGAATTCTTGTGAACTCTGAAATGAACAGTTTACTGTGGCAGAAAACAAGGATGAGATCTCAGTGAAACTGGGAATGGAATGCTTTGGACTGAGCAGCACTTGCATGTGCTGTCAGTTAATAGCCCTCTTCTGATACCATTTCATATTCTTGTAGTTTTGTGCCATTTAAAATTTTTCTCTAGCTAATCTAGAGCACTTCAGAAAAATAAATGGTCCAGGTATTCTACTTCAGGACTTCGGCTCATCCTGGAGAAAGCATACTTATCTTGAGGTACTGCTGCTCTGTTCTTTGACAGCTGCAGTCAGAAGATCAGTCACCCTCAGGCATGGGAGCAGTGCCTGTGACAGATCACCGACTGTGTCTGCAAATGGCCGAATCTATGGTGGGGTACACTGTGCCAAGCTGATTCTGGCCGAGGCTGAATCTAGTATGAATGCTGTAAAGGAAAAGGCAGTTCAGCTGAAGTTGGCTTTTATACCATGCTATGGAAAGCAGGGGGAGTTCAGAGTGGCACCTTTCCTTGACCTTCTTTAGGCCAAAAATAAACTTCAGATACTCCAGGTTTTCCATGAAGAATGTTTCATTTGTAATCTGAACCTCCCCTTTTCCTGGGGTCTAAGATACACTGTTGAGTGTGACGTGCTTCATGTTCTGATGTGTTCCTGGACGATGGCCTTAAAAGAGCCATCGAATGAACCTGAGAGGATGGCTAATGCTTTCTTCTGCAGAGAGAAAAATCAGTCTTGCTGAGTCTTGGGGTAGAAGTAAAATACCAAGTAATTTTATTAGGTTACTGATAAAAGGAAGAGAGAAGAGTTGGACAAAACATCACCTTTTCTGTGTCTGAAGAATTTTATGTAGAGGGGACGTCTTTGAGTGTAAAGTCTCTCATAGTCACAGCCTTCAGGTAAGGCAAGTGTGAGGTGTAGTGAACAGTGCTGAAATCACTGCAGATTAGCAGAGCAGGTGCCCTCAGTCTGGAGGGGGTTGTACCTTTAAGTGGAAGATACTGAGTCTAAAGTGAATTAGAGTATCAGATGTGACTTATCTACTTGGTGCTTTAACATGTCAGCTTCAGCTATGAAGGTGTAGACTGATAACAGATCTGCCACTCAACTGTAGTTCCTCCCTTATGGGGCTGTTGTCTGAGGTGACAGTTCTTTGTAGCTCACTAAAGCTTGTAGCTGCTTGTGCTCGTAACCAAATTCGGCAATCCTTGGACCTGCTTGCAGAAGCAGGGAGAACCTGCTGCACTGGCACGTTTACACCACTTCGCTGTGAGCGCAAGAAGTACTTGCAGGTCAAGAGGGCTGTAACATCAGCCTGTTAGGACTGCAGGCAGAGCACTGATGGCTTTCTGCAGGCCTCCAGCAGCACGTAGTCTTCCCTAGAGAGGCAACAGGCATGAAAGCTTTTTGTAATTGAGTGATGGCAGCCTTGGTTGAACAGCCACTTTGTTGTGTTTCATTTGGAAAATGGTTTAGAGAAGTCATATAAAACCCCAGTACTTTGCCATGCTTCCTGGATTTTAAGCAGTCACTTGTTTTATCAGGAGTATGGGTTGTATAGTAGCCACGTGCTACTGGAGGCACCACCTTTGTGTCGCCCTGATTAACCAAAGGGGGTTGGACAGATGTGCCTGTTGCAGAACGCAGGAAAGGGCCTGGATCAAAGCCCAGCAGCGGGTGCAGATGTGCTGAAGACCTGACCCTCAGTATTGCCTTTGTTTTTGTTCTCAGAACTTTCTCTTCTCACCCAAGACTGAGACTGAGCAGTAGTCCTACTTTCAGCTGCTCTGTTCGATTAGATGCGTGCCCTAAAGAAATATGGCTGGAACTATAATAAGGATCACCTTCTTACTTCTTCTTCTTAGTATTGTCTATTACCATCATTATGTCAGTGGTTAGCTCTGTTCATAGGTTTCACAGAGGGCTTTGTGTAAACATCTCACATCTAACATGCTCTTCAGTTTCAGACTAAATTGGGCAGTTGATCGAACCGGGAAATGGCAAGAGCTGGAGTACCCGAGTCCTGCATATCCAGCCTTTGCTTGTGGATCCGGCTACGTCATCTCCAGGGACATTGTTCAGTGGCTGGCAAGCAACTCTGAAAGATTAAAGACATACCAGGTGCTAAAGTGTTGGTTCAATTTTTCTGTTTTCAACTGGTGTGGGAGAACAGCGTGTGTACTGGATGAGCTGGAAAGGAGGTAGCTCCAGCGTTAGTGCTGGGTTCTCCTGGTGAATGCTGGCTTTCTGCCGGGCTTTTGGTCGCTTTGTGTAGTGTCTGGTTTAGGTCAAAGCGCAACTGTTTTGGAATGAGAACCTCTGGAGCTGTAGTCTTGTATTTTTTTTTTTACTCTTTTAAGAACAATGTATTATCACAGGAGAGCTAAGAGGATTAATTTAACACCTCTAAGTCAGTCAAGCATGTGTTTTTGTAGTTAACATTTTTTACTGATGGTACCTAATGAAACTTATCCTGGGTCACAAAGTCACGATGCATGCTTTCCTGCTGCTAATACCTGTAATTTTCATTTTATGTGTTGTCTTAGGGTGAAGATGTGAGTATGGGCATCTGGATGGCAGCTGTAGGACCGAAACGATACCAAGTAAGTCTGAAGAAATTCCCCCTGCACCAAGTTCTTCTTGGAAGTGAAGATTGTTAAGACTGAAGCCTATGTAAGAAAACTATTATTGAACTGATTCTCTCTCTAACAGGATAGTCTCTGGTTGTGTGAGAAGACATGTGAGAGTGGCATGCTGTCTTCCCCCCAGTATTCTCCACAGGAACTGACGGAGCTCTGGAGATTAAAGGAACTGTGTGGAGATCCTTGTAGATGCGAGGAAAGATGATGGACTTGCTTTGGAAAACAGGGTAGCATAGACTGATCATGGAAAAGTGTCCATTTGGATTCATTCTTGGAACAATAAGGAATATTAAGGTATCGTTTAGTGCTGGGTTTCAACTCAAGTAGAACTATTTGCACATCCCTTTTGATAGTTACCAAGTGGACTGATACTATTAATTTTCTATAGTATAGATGTTGATCTGACAAAAAATGTTTAGGAGAAAAAAACCTCCTTTTTATATAAAGTCAAAGACTACTTGTAATTAATAAATGCACATAAGAATGCCAACTGGCCTGTTTTTTTTTAAATTAAAGTACTACTGATTTAATTCTGTATAGAGCTGTGCTAAGCACCAGGGCATCTGCTGCAGGTTCTGTGCTGCCTGAGGGGCTGCCCTCAACTGTGCAGGGGCTGGAACAGCTTTAGGTTAGGATTTAGGTTTAGTTTGTTTATACCATTGCCATTTTAGATAAGACCAGTATCAAAGTTTGCTTATACCAAATCTTGAAGTACTGCAAACTTGGCCTGATTAGGAGGGATTTCTGACAGCTCAATGTGTTACTAGAAATGAATCAGGATACACAAGTGAAAGTAAAATAGGATACTGAAGAATGTAAAATAAATAGCAACACTTTGCAGTAAGTATGCTGAGAACTTACTTATACTGTGGTATGTTAATGCCATAGGGTAGAATAAAGGCCTGTCAGATTTTGATCTTAAATAGACTAAGGCTGTGTAGATACTTCTACAATTACTGCTGTTTTACTTCTGTTTTGCTTTAAGGTCTTTGGAACTAGGTGAAAACAAAGAGCAAGTAGCCTCTTTGAGTGCAGCACTAATTTTGTCCTCTTATGTAAGTAAAGTGATCACAACTCAAATCACATACTGATCTACAAGCAGGTAGTATAAAATCTTGGCAAAAGAGGTACCTTGAGTTTTATTTAATTGAAGCACTGAAGCAGTGTTTGGTATCTCTCAAGTAAGGCAGTTCAGCCCAAGCCAATGCTTCCATGGAGCTGAAGGTGTCCTTGTGCAGTCCTCTGGTGCCAGGAACGGGGAGCTCTGTGTGCTGGGCACGGGCTGCCTGGCCCCCGCCGCCCCAGTGCCGGCCGAGCCGGGGAGGCCCCGCTCACCACCGCACCAACACGCAGTCTCCATTTTCTATCGAGTAGAACTGCAGAGGCTTTAAGTCATTGTCCAGTTCAACTTCTTTTCCTTCCAGCTAGAATTAAGAAAGGAAAAAGCCCTGATCAGACTTAAATGGAAATCTGTTAATGTAAACCAAATACAGATCAGACAGCTGCAGTCAGGGAGGACCTGTCATATGACAGGAATGAAACTGGGTCCTAAATTACAGCATGAAGACTGCCCTCCTTAAGTGAAATCAGTTTGATGGGGTGGTGGTTTAGAACTCTATTGACCTTCAGCAGCCTGCAGTATTTTATTGTTGAATTACTCATTTTTCACTCACTTTAGAACTTTCATAGGACAGTTTCAGTTCTGAACCAGGAATTTTAAGTAGGCGATACAGCAGTCCTTTGACCCTCTGAATAGTCATAGACTCTGTCAAGGGGAAAGAAAGAAAGAAAGGTTATTAGAAAAATGCTGCTACCACTGAGCTGTAGCGAAGTACTAGTGCTGCAACTATACTTGCTTATAGCAACAGTGAAAGGCTGTATTGCTGCTTCAGTTCTAACACTGCAATAATGTCTTTTTATACCTGAAACCATAACTGCTAATCAAACTGAAAATGGTTTAATCTCTGGTGGGTAGGACAGGATGTGCTAACTATGGGTTAAGTGCTTTGATCCCATACACCAAATTAAAGTGTTAGGGCTTCATAGTTTACCTGCTTTTGAGTTTGCATTTACGACATGCTAAACTAAGTGACCTTTGGGACATACCCAGTCAGGTTCTGACTGCTTGCATCTGGCAACTGTTCCTTGAAGTCTTCATTACCAGGAACTGGCTTTCCCAGCACAGCTAAATGGATGTCACTGTGGAACTAGTGCCATGCTTAGAAATGGTATGACATTACAACTCTGTTGGCAATTTGTTTGGGAGTAGAGTGGTTTATATTATGAAGTCAGTTACACAAAAGGTTACCTTTTGTAATGAATCTTGAATGAGTAAATATAGTTTGTTCCAGCGGTGAGACCTATGTTTGCAATAGATATACTCAATATTTTGGTTGAACTTTCACTTCTTTTGAAGCTTTATCTACAGGCACAGCAATAGTGAGTTATTCCTATAATACTACACGTTGTACTTAGACAAATATTTTTCTATCAAACATTTTTGTAAAAGCTGTATCTATCTGATTTTATGCAACTTGTGATAATAAATGTGATTTTTATTTTAGAATAAAGCTTGAGTAAGTATTTTCTCTCAGACTCCATTCTGACACATCTTTCAAAAACGTTTGATTTAGAACAAGATCTATTCATTCTAGTCTCACTACAGGCACTAAAATTTCAAAAGATAAATTTGATACTGGTCAGAACTTGATTTCTAACTTAATGTGTTAAGTACTGGACCTCAGTACCTAGAACTGCAGGCTACGTAGTTGGCTCTTACAGCTTCATGTTCTTTTTATGTAGTTAACACATCCACTAGATTTCATACCCGTTAATCAGCCTCTGGTTGCCTCTGATAAACCATGAACCCAACAGCAGAGGTCATAAGACAACCACCAACTTTGTCTTCAAGCTGGAGTGAAAGTAAGTGTGAAGGTCTGAAAAGTTGTGACTTTTTCAAACAATTTCTACTTGTGATATTTCTTTATATGACAGAATCTTCAGGGGAGAATCTCCAGGAGCTGACAAAGCCAGCAGCAGCTGCCATTCTTTAATGTAATTATTTGGAAAGGAGTCACAAATCAACTGTTTAAACACAAGCCCACACTTCTTACCTGGTAGCTTTTTCTCTACTGGCTTCTGTTCAGGTTTCTCAGGACATTTAATTGTCAAAGCTTAAGGAAGAACAAGCAAGGCATTCGTGAATGAACATTAAGCCCTGTTCTGACAGGACCACAGAGTCTTTCTGGCCTGTTTTTATTACAGATTGCTCCCCTTAGCTCAGCCTGAGCTTCTAAAAACCAGAATAGCCTGTAGCTGAGCAGCTAAGAGCATTTAGTCATTCTTAGAAAAATTAAAAGTAACTTTGGCAAAATAATTGAGTTTCTATTCACCTCTGATAAAATAGGGGACATATTTTAGAATTGACTCCCCTACTCCCCTAATACCTTTTTTTTGTCAAAAGGAGTATTTACATAAAAATGCTTAATTTTTAGTTAGCTTTTTAAAATAGCTTGCAGTGGAATGGAAACTGCTTACTCAGTTTAAAGCACGCTTTTGACCCATGGTATCTCAAAAGCACTGTACAAGCACATTTTAAGGAAGTTATTAGCCTAATTCTTTTACAAAATTAAAAGTCATCCTTAAAAAAAGGTTTCTATTATATCCAGCCAACTAGATTCCTTGTTCCATCTAGTCTTCCACCTAAATGCATTAGAATCTAATGCCTTAAAATACTGTTTTGCAGATGAAGTAAAAAAAAGGTTCAGTTCTATCAACTGGGAAACAAAGATAAATGAATTTGTAAGTCTGAGATGTAACCTGGTTTAAATATGTAGACAGACCCAAATACCAAAGCTAGCTGTATTTATTTTGACTGTCCTAAAGTTAAGAAGCTATTAAAAAATAGCTTCATTGTTTTTTGATAATATATCAAGGTTAAAACCTCAAAAGGCTTCTGCAGAGAAGCCATTCACGTTATCACAATGAGAGTATTGATTACCTCTATTCTCCACTAAGTCTTAATTAATAAAATAATTTGGCTGAGGAGGACATGAGATACCTGCTTCTTCGTACACTTATCTAGTCAAACTCATCAATGCCCACAGTTCAGAGAAGCAGAATTACAAGATGGAAGTCTGTTACATCTCAAAAGCTTTTGAACCTTTTGTTCTCCATATACACTCAGGAAACACTAAGCTCATAAAATAGTCTAAATGCAGAAGGAACAATTTTGACCGTTCCTGGCCTCTTACTCAGAAGCTGGTTTTTCAGTGTCAAAGGCTGTTGTCCCTTCAGTTCTCCTTCTTCAGGGGCACCATACTCTGTGTGAAGGAAAGTGCATGTAAACACAAACCTGCCAAAGACTAAAAAGTTTTAAAAAGTAAAAACTAAAAGACTAAAACTCAACTGTAGCCCTAAGGGGACCATGTTGTTGGACCAGGCACAAGCCTGCTGCCCCAGTTCCCTCAGCAGCTAGGACACTGAGCATAGCAAGTGGCAGCTCCTGAACTGTAAAGTGCTGCGGGCGTGACCCTCGGCTGGAGCACTGTGGGGTGGAGCAGGTGGCAGACATATGGAGGTGCTGCAGTAAAGCCCCCCGTGGAGAAAGCTGCCCCCAGCTCACCAGTGGAGTTGTGGGGTGCTGCTCGCAGGAGTCGCCCCGGAGGCAGAGAGAGCCCGGGAGCCTGCCGTGCTCTGCGGCCGCCCCCCAGGAGCAGGAGACGTTTGCCCACAGGCCAGCCAGCTGCTGGGCTTTCCTAGGGCATGGAAAAAGCAGCGCTACCACAACGCCACAAGTGAGGAAATGCTAATTTTACTGTACTTGTACTTACTGAGGCAAAGTGACGGGTATCTGGGATGGGCAGCAAGAAATCCTTCACTTGGTTTGTTCTTCTCTGGGTCCCAATTCCCACCAGCTGCTAACCAGTCATTTCCAAATATTTTGCGATAATCAAGCTCCGCTCCTTTTCGTTCAGCGGGAGGGATCTGTACTGACCCAGGAATGGCACGTAATATAATCATACAACTTTCCAGAGGAGAAAAATCTAATTAATGACACCGACTCCTTGCTCTTACTTGCGTGTTTGGTGTGTTTTAATACTACCAAGACTCTCACAAACCCCATCTCCACGTACTGGCTGATCCATGTATTCAGTACATTTTACAGCTCTTGAGAGTCCCCAACACTCACAGCACCCACCTCTGTGTACAGACTGGTCCATAAATGAGTGTCTAAGCAAAGATGTTACTGTATATGATGCCACAAGGATGGGTTTTATAGCTAAGGACCAGATGCTGCTTCTGCTCTCTTTTATAATCAGGTTTGATTTGGTTTACATAATGCTATTTTCCTATTACAGAAAGCAAAGGCCTGTATTACTATCACTGAGACAGATTCAACTACACTGGATTTTTTTTTTTTTTCAAAGTATGGTTTTTGTTAACAGTCCTGCAACTTCAGCATGACTGAAAAAAACAGTGTTCCTACATCCCTGCTGAGTTAGCAGCATTCATAAACAGGGCTGGACCTTGCAGCCCTACTGAGTGCTCCATTACTAGGGGATGGAATAGTTGGCACTTTTCCTGCACCTTGAAAGTCAGTTATCTTAAACTGAAAACAATTCCTCAGGCAATGATTTAACCTTTTTCCCCAGATTCATGCAATTTGTTGAAATGTCACGTACCTCAGACTTGTTCAAAACCTCCAATTGACTTATCTTGGCAATAATTAGCTGTCTCAGGGTCTCTGGGTTCTTCTCTGTATCCATCAAAGGGTTATTGTGACACTGCAGTGACACTAAACTTGGCAGTTTATCAAGCTCATTGATAGACGACCACTGAAATGAAAGGGAATAGTCTTTTGTGGAAACATAAAACATACTTAGTTTTGGAACAATACACGGTAACAGTCACTTTTCACGTTTCCATGATCATGACTAAATTCTTTCGGTCACTTCATCTTTTGGTACTTTCATCACGTTCATTTAGCTAAAGAAAAAAACTGCACTACATTTAATTAAGTAAAAAAAAAAAAACACAAACCCCAAACAATCCACCAAACCCCCAAAACCACCCCACTCAAGCCAAAACAAAAAAGCAACTACTCAGCATTTTAGATCATTAAAATTCTGTAAGAGGAATCATGAGGCAGCAGAGGGATATGACTAGATACCATAAACACGTTTAACTGAGATGTTACAAAATGTTTTAACATTTTTAGATTATGCCTCTGTGTTGAATGAAGTATTCAATAGTTACACCTCAGGATCTTACACATACAATCACAGAAATTCTTTTAAAAAAACAAACTGCAAGTTAGTCTTAAAAATAACCAAATGTGACAAAATGTGAAACTATCACAATTTAACCTACCTCTGATATTTTATTGTCTCTTATTACAAGGTGCTTTAGTGAAGGAAACATTTTAGTCTTGCACCCTAGGGAAAAGAGTAAATTTACAAGACAATAGTGAAAACTTTAGATAAACAGAACAGAACTATAAAGCTGTAAATAAATTACTTCTTTTACATACCAAATCCAGCATCAGGAAAGTGTATAGAAGATATTCCAGTGTTTCTCAGTATTAGGTGTTCTAATCTGAAATATAATAGGTGCAATGATGACTGTACATGGCAAAGGAAGAATTTCTTTTTTGTAAAGAAATACTAGTGTTTTTTTTTTTTAAACAAAGGCGTAATAAACTTCTGACATGCATACTCGCTGACAGATGAACAGCAGCTTCACAGACTTCAGCAGAGGGAATAAATTCTTCAGAGAATAAGTGCAATAATTTCAAGCTTTCAAAACGGCTCTGGGATTTAAACAGTGTGACTTGCCAGATGATTTTTTAAAATACCTTGTTGCTATTTAAAATCATGGCTGCTATTTTGGTGTATAGTGCAAGATAATAACTCCAGAAATCAGAAGAACTATTGTATCTGTCCCACAATTTTCCAGTTGCTGTAATTGAAGTGCTTAAGGAACACACACCTGCTTTCCCTGGCTGGAACCCCACAGCAAGGAATCATAGCTTAACCCTGAGCTACCATAAAGACACTGCTACTGGGAGTGCAGTAAGCCAGAAGAATCTGTGTAAAGGGTATTACCAGAGACATTCTTTTAATAAAGTAGAAGTACACTTATCCAATGCAGCGTGGGAATTATACTGGGATTTTGGGTTGTTTTGTTTTGTTTTGTTTTGTTTAATTTTGAGGCATGTCTCAAAGTCTTTAAGCTACCCCAAAAAAGCACTGAAACTTCCAAAAGAAAGTGCCTGTGCAGAGAACGTGCCCCACACTTTTACCAATAAAGTAACAACAGTAACCTTCTCCATAATTAATGACTTCCATAGCTCCTTTACTTTGCCACACCACACAGACTCTATAGGCCTGTCACCCTGGGTAAAACCCTGCGCATACTAAACTATAAAGAACTCCGTAGCATGACAAATCACTTCTGTTGCAGAAGTATATAATTATCTATTTCAGTCAACAAAGACTATGGAGATGAATATCCAGGACAAAGGATTCCCAGCAAATTTGTTTACCAGCTACCTGGGAAGATGTGCTATTTGATGCAGCTGATTTCCATCCACTAACTGGTTGTCTGAAAGGTCTAACAGCTTCAGGGTCTGCAGGACATTATCAGGCCTGACACATTGGAAAAAAGCAAACACAAACACAGAATATTTAAAGTTATTTGTTAATAAACCCACTCATTTTCTAAGTATATAGCTGCATGCAAATAATTGTGTACATTTATAAACTTTTTGAGGCACATCGTGTGAAGTTCACAATTTATTTTACAATTATATCACGGTGATGTAAACATTACAGGAATGTGACTTAACCTGCTGTATAACTTTGCAGTCTATCAATCAGTCTGACAGCAACTGACTTATTTTACCCATCTTACCTTTCCAAAGCTGTAATATTATTAGAAGTAAGGTACAATTCTTCAAGAGCTGGCCATCCTGGAGCACAAAGAAGAACCTAAGAGCAAAACTTTATTTAATATAACAAAATTTAGGAAAAAAATATTCCAGAAATTATGCTTCATGCACATTTCCTCATTCAGAACAAGCCATAGCTCCCAAACCCAGAGAAACAAGTATTAGAGATTGCCTAGCCCTCCCTTTCTTCCAGCTGGTTCTTTCCTGGGTCTGCATCTGCCAGCACAGATGATATCAAAGGAGTTCTGCCCAGCCACAGGACCTGCAGTTCTGGGCTTGGGGATAGTAGTGGCCCCACCTCAGGACCGTGTAACCTCAAAAACTGAGTTTACTTTATTCAACAGTGTTGGAGAGATCAGATTTTCCCTGTGATGAGGTGAGGAAATGGCAGTATATACTTGACTGCTCACAGCTCTGCAACTTCTGCACCTCTCATCAGGTCAGACAGGCTTTTAAAATGTCTTAATTTATCAGAGCTGGAAGGAGGCTTCTCTGTCTTGAGACTGTCAGCACAGGAAGCCACTAAAATCTAAGAACTGCATTAAGCTAGTACATATCCTGAAGTTTTTGAGTACCCTAAAGAAAACAAACTAGTTCAAAAAGTCTACAAATTGAACAAAGACGCATTTTCATCTTATATCCAGAAATCACATTAAAATGATTATTTTATACAGATTTATTTTTCCAAACATCTATTGAGGATACTGAAACTTTTAAAAATAAACACTTACTACAAAACAATAGAAATTGCTGTCATAAACCCCAGTTTTGAATGCAGCTATGGCAGTGTCAAAAATTCTGCAGTTTTAACAAGTGGAGTTCCATAAACACTGGAACTGACTGGTTTTCTACAGATTTGTGCCTGTGAGTCACAATTTTTTTTTTCTTTCTTATGAGTTTTTTCTTGTGTGTATTCTCCAGAGTCAAATTAAGTGTGATCTCATCCTGTTATACTTTCCTTGGTTAGGAAACTCAAAAGGGGCTCTTTCCTCCATCTCCATTCCTATTTTCATGGAACTTGCAGGTAACAAAACCATTTTTAAGCCCCTACCTCTTTTCAAAATGTGTTTGAAATTGGCTGGCATATTCAAAGTTTTTGAGATGCAAGAGCACAGACATATACATGCACAACATAATGACCTAAAGCTTGTTTTATACAGTTTATAAAGCAGTGAAGTTCAGATACCTGGAGAATTAAATTCTATTTGTTATGTATATAGCTAAGAAATTCTCCTATAAATGTCCACTATCCTAGACACTAAAAAGCCTCCTGTCATCAATTATTCTTCATTCTGTCTGTAATAGTTGTCAGAATTTATAAAGGTAGATGTATTTAACTTAATTATTATGCATACAATACAAAATATTAACTCTTGAGATGTTTTCAACTGGTGGCATATCATTTGGGGCTCAACTGCTTTACACCCCAAAATATGAAACATCATCCTGTTGCCACATCTGCAACACACGTAAACTTATGAACTCGGATATAAGAAACACCAATATTTTATCTCTTTAATTTGGGTAGTGTTGCCCTACGCCAACAAAACGGACCAAAATCGTTTATCTATTAGTGATGAGGAAGAATGAAAAGGCCCTTGCAGAGTCAGAAGAAATCAGGTATATTCCCCCCCCCGAAGCCCTTCATTGTGAAGGATGGCACAGAAAAACTGCAGAAATCTGAAGACTTCTCAATAGACTGACCAAATGACTAGAAAATTGCCAAAACCAAACTATAGACGCATCACAATTCTAAGAAACTTGAACTGCCAAATTTTCAACTATCACTTAAACAGTTTCTACATTGAAACAGAAGTTCACAGATCTGACACCAGATTAACACTGGGAAAAGATTAGGGGCTTGCTGCAGATAGCTGGTGGGAAGGTTGGGGCAAACAGCCAGTGGAGTAGCCACTGCTCATCAAAAAAGAAAAATGGAAATCCAAATCCCAGTGCACAGGAAATAAAGATAATGAGAAACAATTGCCACCATGTAAGTCCATGATGTTCCTTTATTTTTAGACTCTTTATCCCAGGAAGCAAGTAATCTAAATGGGAAAGGCACAAAGAAGCTTATGAAGAAACATCAAAGCAATGAAACAGAAAATAGCTCTTCTCAGTTACCTGCAGATAAAATACTGGGAAATATTAAATGAAATTACCAGGCATCAAGATCAAAAACCCAAAAGGATATTTTTTTCATACAGCACATGATTAAACTGATGTTAAAAGATGTGGATATAAAACTCTTCAAATGGGTTCTTAATATGGTTAGATAAATCATGAGACAAAAAAACCACAAAGACTAATGAAACAGACATACAGTCTCCAGCTCGGGAAGCCCCTGAATTCCAGATTACTTTATAAGAAGCTCTTCCCACATGCTTGCCCTTTGCCTAGAATTTTTCCCAACTACCTGCTACTTGCTGGTGTCAGAAATGTGATCCTGCATCTCTGCTCTAATCCGGATTTTTCTTTTACCCTGTATTTAGTAGATTATTTTATAAATGTAAAATCTTAATTTGGAAACAGAATGACAAATATAACATTATGATCTAAATGCTGAATATGAAAAAGTATTTTTGAAGCCATAAATATAAATTCATTACTCACAAATACATTAATTTAATTTCCAAGTCAATAGTTTCTAACTGTAAGATATTTTACAGGACATCTTCCCCCCTTAAAGGTTGTATGCTATGTTTTGAGCAGTCAGTTGACAATTATATAGTAATAAGATCTTCTACTGATCTATGAATAGAGCTCTCAGATATATATAAACATATGCATATGATATACAAAGGAGAGAAATGTTTGGAAATGTAGAGTTATGCATAATTGTGTAACAGTTAAGTATGTCCTTCTGCTATGAAAAATATTTCAAAACAGGAACAAATTAAAAAACAAACAAACAAAACCAACAAACCCACAAGTATTCAAGTCTTGTTTTCTTTTTTAAAACTAACCCCATGCCATACACTCTTACATGGCAATAAGATATTTTGAAACACTGTTCACCATTAATTTTTTTTAAATGTTACTTAAGACACTCCTAGTTTTTCAGACTTTGCTTATATTTCCATTGACAATTACTGTGTTTGTGTTTTGCCTGGATCATATTCATATTGTTTTCTATTAGAAAGTTGACTTTTCAAAGTAACTCCCCATACTGCTTAAGCAGTCATATTTTCAAGTGGTTTGTTCACAGGGTATTGTCAGGTAGGTTCCTTTATTTTTTCCCCTTTTGTTTGGCTGCCCTGGAACACCACTTTTAAACACAGGCTTAAGTCTCCCCACTTCAGGGAATGAATCAAACAAATTTCAGAGTAATAAAAAAAGATTTTGGAACCAAAAATGTCTTCACCACCTATGAGGAATTGCCAACTAGAGGAGTTTTAACAACAAATGCAAAAGCTAATAATTTTAAAATTATCATTTTAAAGTGCTCTGAGTAACCTGGGGCTTCTCTCTGAATCTGAGCTACCCCTAGAGAACTCTAGCCTGCCTGCAGGAACAGCTGAGAGCAGACTTCCCCACCCTGGTACAGAGGAGAGAGCTGCTGGCAGCTGCCAACATTTTAAATGCTATAATGCTCAGATTTACTCTGGTGAGCACTAGGTGACACTGAAAGTGTTTGTAGTGACTTAGTTCTTCCAGTCAGTTCACCATTCACATTGCTGCTGTTATGGAAGGCCTACCAACTGTCCTAGAATAACCCGCACTGATGGTTTAAGAGCACAGTGAATAGATACTGAAGAAAAATATAGTGATGACCCTTCTCCAGCCCTGCTGCAAGAAAAGAGACTAAATAAGTTTCTTTCTACTTTAACTCAAGCTCTAGTGTTGGTAAGTGCTCTATTACTGGATAGTTGCTAGCAGCTAAAAATTTGACAATTCAGGTAATTTCATGATGCAGTATATACAAAAAACCTGCCCCTGAGGAATCCAATTAATAGGCTAAAATTTACAAGGCATTATAAGTAACATGGCACCACTGAGATGTATTTGAAGAACTTCAGCATACACAAAGACACTAAGCCAATGCAAAGTGATGCCAAAACAAGTACTTTGTGTCATAATGATATACCTTCTTTCCATCTGCATTTGTTCTATTGCATTCATAAAAACACAGATAAACCAACAAGTTTTCATCCACACAAACCTTTGGGACATGCAGTTGTATTATACACCAACTGCTTTATTCTGACTTTGTAATTTACAAATGTAGATGAAGTTAAATGTCTCTTATTAGACTCCCGTGCCAATGTAACTGCCCACATCACACAGGAGCTACGTAACTAATACAGTTACACCACAGCACCTTTCCTAAGGATGATTACAATTCACTAGAACAATACAATGCATAAATGTTTATTCTGCTTTCCCTGCCTCAAAAATCTAACAGTATAAATAAAAACAAAACTGGGAAAAGTTATTACATATTACCTCTGTCCATGTTATCTGTGTCTGATTAAGTGCCAGAATCCTCAATTTTGAAAATACACTGGATACAGAAGTTGATGTAGGTGGGAATTTCATTTTGTTTTCACTGTGTAAAAAGAATAATTACTAGCATAATTAATAACTTCATTTATTTAAGTCACTAATTTGGAATCATATATTAAAGACAAATCCAATTTTTTAAAATGTTATAAAATATCCTTCTAGTTATATTCAAACATACTCTCCTAATTTATAATTCTACCTTGTGAATGCATATTTATTCTTCTGTGGCCTCCTCTCCTTTTTCTCCCCAAAGTTTTTAATATGAAAACAATGATTTTCATTTTTAAATCAAACCAAGTCAGATTTTGGGCTTAAACTCCTTAGTGTCAATCGAAAGTAAAGAGCCCACATAACTATCCAGGCCCTACTAAAACAAAATTATGTAAAATCCACTCTCAATAGCAAAATATCACTATAAAATGGTTAAAAGATTCTCAAAATCTGCAGTCTTTAAAATAGTTTTCATTACTCACCCTCAAAAAAGAGTTTTCATTTCTTCCCTAAGGTTTGATCTACCTGCGTGTTATGATAAAAATCTCTCAGTGTAGTTACACTTACGGGTTAAATTTCCCCATTTAAACAAGCTCTTAGGCCTGGTGGATAGCTGATCACTCTTACTTTTTAATTTATTCTTTTTTTTAATGTTTTGCCAACATTCCTTGCACAAAAAAAATCAGTAACAGGCTTACCTGCTAATGTCTTTCTTTTTTTAAAGTAAACAGAAGGCCAAAAGAATAAAAAACAAATACTATTTCAGTTTGTAGTCCTAAGTGTCAGATTCCAGCATCAATCCCATTTTGCTTTCCAGTGTTTTCACAAATAATTTCTGAAAACCAGTCTAGACTACACTTCTCAACAACAAAATATGGAAAAAAATGTTCTGGGCAAATTAAAATAAATTCTCTGTATTCTCATGAATGCTGCTGATAATAAATCATGGCAACATATGCTCTAGGCAAAGTCAGACTTACAGAGAGCACCCAGGTTGCAAACAGCTGTTCAGTGCTAATTATTGAAGAAAATGGAACACTTACATCTCTTGTAAAAAATAAATTTTTGTCAAATTATCTATAAGAACAAATATAAAAACTGGGGTAACGTTTTTATTAAATTAACTTGGTATTTATATCAATTTAGCTTATGTCACTTTCAATTGTCTTAGTTACATTGTATGTGCTGTATAAGGAATGAAGGCTTTGGAAGTTGCTCATCTCTACGCATATCTCAAAGACTAAAAAAAATCGTATTTTATTTTTCTACCTCCAGTCCTATTGCCCTACTGCTGTCTTCAGTGACTAGTATGACCCCCCCCAGCAGCTAAGCAACTCTGCTTGAAGAGTCAGCAGTATACAATAAAACAAACTTCCTAAAGTTGCAGCTGTGACATCAGCTTCTCTAAATTACTGGTTTAGGCTGCTATCTGTTTAATAACTGTACTCCATTCTGTTACTTTACACCAGAGAATTATTCTGCATGTGCCAGCTACAGCGTATAGGTGTGTACTAGAAACATTCTTTATTTTGAAATTATTTTGTGAATTCTTCCTTGTTTTGATGGAACTGCAGCTTTATTTAACAACATCCTCTCTTTTTTTCCTATGTCATCACTGTACAAGAGATTTTCTTCCAGTTCTGTCACCATGATCCACAGTTCTTATCAGCATCATTTCAGGACAGGAATAGACCATGACAGGAACAGACTGGGTCCTGGGATACTTAACGTTTGGTTAGAGCATTATGGACATTTCAGTTTGGTGTCAAGACACTGTTGGTAAGCATCACACTTAAACAAAAGTGGGCTCCTAAATAAAGACTTGCCTGGGTAGCCAGATTCTATCAACAACAATAAGAAATGGAGGAAAAAAGTCTTAAGACACTTGTAATGACTTTAAAATTGAAAATGAAAATATATTTACTTTACCAGTTTTCTATGTAGGAAAAAAAATCTAAACTCATGAAAATACCCAAACAGGTTTGCAATCCTAGCAGGCAAACAGCTACTGCTAAACCTAAATAAAAAACGCTCAGTGAGAGTTTAAGTGCTAAGGACATGCTACTAGTGCTTTCAGAAGCAGGCTGCAGCCTCCTGCAGCAGTGCCACCTCAAGGTCTTGGCTTCTTCTGAGGGGCCCATCTGCCAGCAGTCTCTGCACCCTGCCAGTGCCATGCAGACCCTATGCACAAGTGTCCAGAGCCTGACCTGCTGCACAGGCACAGAGCAAATCTGGCTACATTTGCTGTGAAACCCGTCTCCTTGCTGACTCAGACCCACTGCACACGTAAAAGTCAGTTCTGCCTTGGGGCAAGCAAAGCTTTAAAATCAAGAGAATTAATTGTCTTAGATGTCACAGATGTGTGTAAGTACATCTTTATGACACTTTAAACATGTTTCCATACTCCCTGTTTCCATATTTCTATAAAAGTACTCAAGTATTTCTTTACCTTCAGTCTAACTACCTAAAAGAGTCTACAGCAACCTGTAACAATCTATAATGTGCTTTAATCCAGTCTCCCTAACCAATGAGCCAATTTGCATAAAAATGGTGAAATGTGTTACATGGAACACGTTGACAGACACATAAATTTCTGTAAATGTTTAATGGTTGAAATATGTATTCTTTTTCAGACAACTGGATTTTTCTAGTTTTACAAAACTCCAGTAAACATCTGCCTGTGCTGAGCACTCCTCCAGAATTTAGTTTTACATAGATGCTCATCTCCTAGGGTTCTAGTCTTTCCTTGAAAAGATGTCTGAAAAATACACACACACAAGTTGTTTAAGGACAAGACTTGAAAAAAAAGTATTTAAAAACTCTGCTCTCATTACAATGACTATTGCAGTATCCAGTTACCTTTAGAAAGTTGACACCATACCTAAACACCCTCTTCTTTTTTGTCCCTACCCCAAAGGAACAGAAACTTAAATATGAATATTCATACCTGATATTAAGTGTTTCCAGATTTTGAACTTGAGAAGCGATTGCTGTTACTGTCTCCCAAGATGATATAAGATTTTTTGACAGATTTATATGCCTGATATCTGAAATTTCCCATTAAGAAAAAGAAACTCAAGTAAAATCTAAATTTTTTTCATCAGAAATTAAAATTTGGGTGTGTTTTTTTTGAACCACATAAACAGAAATAGATTACATGTGTTTGGTCTAAGTGATACTGCTGCTCAGTTACAACAAATTTTATTTTGATATGTGGTATGGAAATGGCTTATAGTTTTATTAAAAAGCTTAACTTTACAAATCCTAAAATGGATTCATTTCTGTATTGACAGGAACTCTTATCGGTCCTTATAAATGAACAAATAATACCTGCTTTGCATTTCTGTAACATCACTACAACATACAGTATATTGAATAGATTATTATATATTGGAAACCTCTGGTGACTACAGAACATATCAGTAGGATTTTTAAGGGATTTTCTATTCTTGAGTTAAATTAAAAAAAAAACGCCATTGCTGGCACCTTCTGAAATTGCAGTCACAGTAACAATCTGTGATAATTTTTCTGCTTTTATTGACAATTTGCAATCCCTCTCAAAAACTGTAGGCATCTACCTTTTAACTCTGTAAACATTGTGTTAAGCATCTAGACATAAGCTGTGGTTTTAAACATTTTTAAATAAAAGGATAAACAAATCATTCAGAGGTGAACACTTGGAATGCTAAAATATATACTTCATTTGTGGTATCATGCAGCACAGCAAAAAAAGGATACTAGGACAGGCTCTGAGGATTTCCTCCTCCTGACCAGCGTGGCTCACGGCGCACTCCCGCACCGAGATATCGACCAGTTGGTTCAGCTGGCTAAATGAGAAAGTACAATCTGTTAAGCAATCTTCAAACTGAAATAGGTACATTATATAAATACCTGGTTATTGCAGCTAAGTAACATTCTTTTCATACATATTGTCTCCTCTAGACTTAGCAGTGAACAGACTGCTACATTGCAGTGTCATTCTTACTCAAAAACGGGCACACCTCCTCTATTTTTTGCCTTTACGTTGCTACTGCAAAATAGGTCTGGTTGAACCACAAGCCCACCCAACCTCCCCAGAAAGAAAACCCCAACCAGCCCCCAAATAACTGAAGAGTGATGAAACAGACAAAATACAGCAATGCAAATCAGAACTGAATAAGAGGTTCCAAGCTAAGCAGGTTTCTTGCAAAACTTATTTTCAAGAAGTTCCACGTTATTTGGGCATTGTTTGTATCATTTACCAAAAAAGACATAAGTATTTTTGACTCCTCAGTATGTTCTGGGACACAAAGGGAGAACAGTTGTGGAATATCAAATCAGAGAAGACTGCCATCTATGAAACAGTATCTCTCTACGGCTGGAGGTCATTAAAACTGCAATCTACTACACATCATTAAGTTGCTTACTTTGTCACCCTTCCAGATAAATGAACATGACATGAACTGACTGAAAGACTTCTTCACTAGCAGCACAATGACTTTCTGCCTTCCTCCTCTTAGTTACATAGTCATTACTGATGAGTAAACAAAAATTAAATAGTACTGTACAATATTAATGTTGAAATACAACTCCTTAAAAAGGACCATGCGTGTATATAGCGATAGCCAATGTCATGGTAATTTATCTCACTAATTCCTCTCCAAATATCAGCACCTCCTACTTTGTGAAATCAAAATGAGGATTGTGAGCACTCAAACATGACATAATCCCAGTTCCTATCTGTAAAACAGGTAAGTTATGAAGCCGCAACAGGCAGATCTCTTCTCTCTTCCACCATAGCACAGTTTGCCTTACTTTTAGAGATACGATAATATCACGTTCAAGGCACCCAGCTTAGTCTCCTTAAAGCTGAATTAATACTTGACTCACCAGCTGCTAAGAGCGTATCTTAGATTTTCATATATTACACTTGCCTTTGTTGTTCTGCAATAGAATCCATGCCAATGAATTCCACAGTCTTCTTTCCAAATACAAGTGTATTCTCTGTCCCGTGTTGAACATCTCGCTCATCATTCAGTGCATACCGATCCTTTACTGCACTAAGAAAATCTACTCCAAAATTTGCCTTGTTTGGCCGGATAAACGATCCTCCTCTAGGATGCCTAGAACAAAGCAGCCAGGAAGAGCTGAACTGCAAAAAAATATCTCTTTAAGAAAAGAAAAACTAGTCTCAAAAATACTACTTATTACTTCTTTAAAATACTGGGAACAAAAGCAGTCAAAAGGCCATTCTAGAGGCTAACTTTAGACACCACTGTTCCCAGTCAGTGAGACCAGGAAAGACTTGCAAAGGATCTTTGATAGTATTTGAACCACCACGTTCACATTGTGAGATGCCACAAGAACTGAAGCACCAGATCTCCAAATGTACTTATGCATCAAAATCACAATGTCAGTGCTGTGATGAGAAATAGCTGCTCTGTTGCTTCCAAACTCACTACGAACTTAGTTTTTCCAGAAAATTAAATTTCTACTTATGGACAGACACGAAGTTACCTAAATCATACAACAAATATGTCTGGAGTCTTACCACAGGCTAATGCACATACAAACACTCAGAGTAGTCACTGCCTTCTTGTATTTGACTTGAAAAACTCACTTGCAGTTCGAGAAGGCAGCCTTGTCCTTCCATCCACACAAATGACATGGATTGTATCACTTGGAACACATTGACAGACAGAATACTTTGCACAGTCCTGTAAAGTTTCTTAGTTTTTCTTGAGCACTGAAAACACTTTCTTGCATGACAATTTCTTGCCATGCAATTGCTCTGACAATTTCCCTCCAATTTAGCAAGGAAACACAGTATCTAGGAAGAGCTGGCAGAGACAAGTTTTTGGAATGATATCACATTGGATCACAGAGAGATCCAATAGGAGGATCAGCAGAAAACAGCAGGAAGAAAACTGGTAGTTATGATTACGTGTCTGCCTTCCACCTGAGAAGAGTGCAGACTTTATTTGGAAAGTAACCAGGAAGAAGAAACCACTGATGTAAATAAAACTCCTCTTTTCAAAACAGCATGTAAATGTCAAATGGCTAAAGAGCAAACCGTAATATAAAGCACTAACACTACTAACACTAATATAAAGAGCTCACAGTTCTCTCGGGAAAAAGAGTAACTAGGGACCCTTAATCCTATGGCCCTACTACAAGTACATGGAATAGCTTGGGCAACATGTATCTTAACATTTTTATTAAAAAAAAGCAGTACTAGCAATTCCTTGTGCCAGTTTAATTCATTAACTTTTCTAATACTTAAGTACTCTCATATCCTAAAGCAGGATTTGGGTAGAAATCAGGTATTATTTACTTTTAAAATATATTCAGTCTAGTTTTGTAGTCACTAAGTTTAGAGTGCAATGATTACAAAACACATATAAGGACATGCTCTTAGAAAATGTAAATCCAGTGTGTGCTTTTATTTTCAATAAGCATTTTTAACTACATTTTTAATCCAGTAAACTTCTCTCAAGTTTTTTCTTCTATTCCTTTGAAGTTCTTCACAGATTGCAAACATCTGGCTAATTTAAATGTTAAACTTTCTCAAATGTAAAAATTATGTAACTTTTTCTGAACGCTACTTCTTAAAACAGTAAATGACATTTTCATCATCCTAACTATAACATTTCTTATCTGTGAAGTGTATGACTCTGCATATCACTATGCAATACATCCTAGGTCTTGCTGTGTGTTTATTCTGATGTCTCCTGCCCTTTTTCCTATCACCTTGATTCTCCCCATTTTGCCATCATCATCCCTCCTCACCCAGCAGTTCTGCTCCTTTTCCTCCTCTGCTCTCCCCAGCCCTCTCACCTGAGCTAATCTAGACCCCACATCTGCATCCCTCTGTTTATCCCTGGCATAGTCAAACCCTTTGGTCTCTCTACCACCATACCTATTTCTAAGCACATTTCTGTCCCCTCAGGTCACCATTTCTATTGGCATCTCCTTGCTCATTGTCTTCAGAGGAGACAGTGCTATTCCTAGGAAGAAGTGCAAAGGAAACTAGCTACCTTGCCCCATGTCATTTGAAGCTACAGGAAAACTATGATGCATTTCTCTCTCAAATCCCTTCTATTTTTTGTTTTATCATAGGGTTTCTCTTTCCTGTTCCCATCACTTCCAAGCAGTATGCATGCTATCTAATGCATACTCAAATCCCTTACACAACCTAAGTTTCTTTTTCAGTTCTATTTCATTAATTTAATCTACTTTTTCAAGAACTGTCACAGAGAAGGACAGAAAAGGAGACTCCAACATGAACCTATTTTCAGGGAAAAAGATTGTGTGTTCAAGAAGAGAGGTCGCTTACCTGTAACTCATTTTCCCTAAAATACACTGCCTGTAGGGAATACAAACTGTACAAGCCATGTGTACACAACAACTAATATGCAGCACCTAGACTCATGAAAAAGCTCACCTCTTAGCCACCAGTCTCCACAACTGGGAACTAAACAGATAAATCCTCATCCAAAGAGCCATCCAACATACATATCATGACATGGAAGAACCTGTGGACTACTGATTAACCTGACTTAAGCTGAACATTCAGAAGTCCGAGAACAGGGATTTTGCTGACACATGAATGAATTTGTGCTGCAGCCAGGATCATACACTGTGCAAAAATGAAGTGACAGAAGATGTGCCCCAATTTCCTTAAGCAGAAAAGTTGGAATATGCCCAAGTGGGGCTCTGACAACCGTCTGGCTCTGGTTAATACTGACACTTCTTCCTGACTTTTAAAATCGACAGGTTGGCCCCAATCTCAGAAGTCAGCTTGTAGGACACCTCCTATTTGTGATTCAGTAGCCTGAAGCAATACAGCTCATCTACTAGCACGCCCTGGGCCCTTGAAAGATATTAATTAAAATTCAAGTTAGCTATCAGCTTCCATTGGTTACCCATTTCCCCAAATAAAGAGAAAATTCAGCATCATTCTTCTTTGCTAATGTAAAGCAAGCAGTGACACTGCTCACCATTACAGGTATCTGTGATGGCTCGTCATGCGCTAGGGAGACATCACACAGATACACTTCTTGGTACCTGAAGAATAATGCAGTAGTACATGAACTGTGCTCTGCCAACAGCTGCACCCTGCTGTCTGGCTGCAGAAACAAGCTTCTGAGTGAAGTAGAAAGATCTTGGCTTAATCAACCTAGATAGTAAAGGTGGATGCAAGGGCTTCTTTGCCCACTACTGGCTGTTTGCAATGATTATCTCAAGGCAATTCTCATCATAACTGGGGCACATGTACTACCAAGCTCAAAGTGTCATAAAATATAGCCAGTTGAATCCATGCAGGTCTTTTCCAGATAGGCTCTGAATAGATCGCTTCCTTTTAAGGTAAGGTGCTCGACGGATCAGACTTCTTTTAGAAGAATCTACACGCTGCAGCATAGAAAACCCTTCAAATTTTAGAAGAGTCTGTGGCAGGCATGGCATCAAACAATGCTTGTAACACTCCCCTGCTGTGGTGTACCAATTTCCTGACTGCACAGCAGGAGCTTTGCAAACACCAGCAAGTTCTTGAAGTTCTTGCAAGTTTACTTCAGTCAAACAGACACAAAAGCTGAGTCTGAGCCTTCACAAAACAAGGGAAGACAGACAGACAGACAGACATCTGCAGTTCCAGAAGCTATCTTAAGGTTCTGCTGGAGCACAGGACACATTCAAGTAGTAGCTGGGGACAACGGTTTTGTTTCAACACTGTTCTACGGACAGCAGAGAGTAGAAGTCTCTGATGGGTACAGTGACACGCAGTGAAACAATCTAAACTTCCTAATGGAGACCTGAGGCTTTTAGGAACCTTGGGAGTGCATTCACCCCTTGCTAAACAGCAACCACTTTTTCTTCGCAGACACTAAAATGATATTGACATCTTCCCGTATTTTAAAAGTTTGTTCATACTTTAAGTAGATATTCCAGGAGCTGAATCTGTCACTGTTAAAGGAGAGATAGTATAAACAGATGTTATTTTGGGTAGGAACATAAATATCACACAAACGACGACAGCACCTGACTGGTCACAACTGCTGTCTGTAAATTTTAAACCATGCCCATATACAACTTACAAAACTCACCGAAGAAGGAAAAACTAAAAAGGGTGTAATGCCTTTGCCAGGACACTGCGTTTCAGAACCACACAGACACACAAAAGTCAAAGATCCCACCAGAATAAAATTTAATAACACAAAGTGGGGAAAAAAGGCCACAAAGATCTGAGAACAAATTTCAGTTCTGCCAGGAACAAGCTTTACTATACTTCTCTCCATTTCTCTGGCTTGCTTTGAAAGGCAAACCTGGGAAACTGACTACAACTTAATATGGTCAATACTTCCAGCAACAGCATCTGCTGAAACACCAGGATTCCTCTGGAAGATGATCTGGGAAGAACAAAACATTCTTTAGCGGGGGGGGGCACAAACATGTTCCTTTCAATTCCAACTCCCAATGTCTGATACAGCAGAACGTTACTCCCATCCTGTGAGGGAAGCAGGGAATTATTTAACCTGCTGCTGAGGAATCCACACATCTCCCCCAGCAAAATGGCAATGAAATGGCAATGCTAAAAACAGTCATTACAATGCCTGTGTAAACAGTACGTGTGAATGGAATACCCAAAACTGACTGAGAGGAGGGCTAAGGAGGAAGATGACCCTTCTGCCAGATTACACAGGGGGGAGGACTCCACTTGATGGGAAGGATAGAAGATGCTTGGACATCTTTAACTGTGGGGAGAAAGAAGATGGCATGAGAGCAGCAGTCAAAACCTGGTTTGATGCCCCCAGGTCACCCCACCAGCAGAAGAGACAGAGCTGCTTCCTGGTCAGATACTGATGTGAGCCTGTACCCAGCAAGAGCAGACACCATGGGGAGCAACACATACACCCCACACCTCAATGCACATGCGTGACCTCAGGGGTGCTTTCTAGCAGCTGGCACGTTAACAGACTGCAGGAAGCAGCACAGGGACACAGAAGCTGGAGCACCCACATCTTCCACAGGAGGTGTGTGCAGCTAAGGCACTCGTGTTCCCAGGGCAGGTGCCCGAGCTTGTAACCCACATCTTCCAGGGGAGCACATGCATATAACTGTGATAATGAGTCTATGGGACAAGATTTATTTGAAAGCATAGTCGTATTTCAAAAGCTTTCTTAAAGCATTCTCTTGAAAATTACCCTGAGAAGAATTTACAAAAAATGTCCTTTCATTGCACGTGCTCACAGTACAAGCCTACAATACTCCATCAGCTGCTTCTGCTTATCAAAATTCAGTGAGTGAGCAAAGCAGGGTTGCAAGCAAAGGATATTACTAGTAAGGCTAGAGGGGGAAAAAAAAAATAATTGTTTTTACATATGTATATACATTATATAAAGAAACCAAATGCCCTCCCTGCCCTGCTCTCCAAACAGCATTACTAAAGAGGTAACACTTTAGGTTGTGGGGTTTGGTTTGGCTACTTTTAGCACCTTTTTGATAAAATGCAGAAGTTTCTGGACAGGTTGGATCAACGTGCCAGGGTCAATTGTATGATGTTTAACAAGGGCAAGTGCCAGGTCCTGCCTTTACTTTGGTCAAAACAGCCCAGGCAACATTACAGGCTTGGGGAATAGCAGCTGGAAAGTTGCCTAGAAGGAAAAGTACCTGGGGCTGCTGGTGGCCAGCTGGCTGAACATGAGCCAGCAGTGTGCCCAGATGGCCAAGAAGGCCAATGGCATCCTGGCCTGTAACAAATATAGTGTGTCCAGTAGGAGTAGGGGTCATCGTGCCACTGTACTCAGCACTGCTGAGGCCACGGCTTGAGTACTGGGTTGTTTTGGGCACCACAGCTTAAAAAAGACATTGAGGTGCTGGAGTGGTTCCAGAGAAAGGCAACAAAGCTGGTGAAGGGCCTGGGAACATGGCTTATAAGGAGTGGCTGAGGGAACTCTGGTTGCTTAGTCTGAGGATGAGGAGGCTGAAGGGAGACCTTACTGCTCGCTACGACAACCCGAAAGGAGGTTACAGAACTGAGTGTTGGTCTCTTCTCCCAAGGAACAGGACAAGAAGAAACTGGCTTAAATTGTGCCAGGGGAGGTTTAGACTGCATATAAGGAAGAATTTTTTTACTGAAAGAGTCATGAGGCATTGGAACAGGCTGCCCAGGGAGGTCATGGAGTCACCATCCCTGGAGGTGTTCAAAAACTGTGTAGATGTGTGTGCCCCTCCAGGACACGGTTTATTGCTCATTGTAGTGTTTGGCTCACGGTTGGACTTGGATGATTTTAGAGTCTGTTTCCAACCTTAATGATTAAGGTAATCACTTTTTACTTAAGTTTGCCTACAATTGGTACATGAACTACAAACCAACCAGTCTGCACAGGTAATGTTATATCTGTGAGTCATGGCTGACCGCTAGAGGTTTCTTACGCTTCAGAGGGACTTCCTCTGATTGGAAGAAAGCAGAATACAAAGAACAGGTTTTGTAAGAACACATTTAGAGATCACTACATTTCCATTTGGTATGGGTGTACGCAGCTTCACTCAAAAAGTCAATTCTCACAATAACAATTGAGATCCCATCTCCTGGAAGCACACTAATGGTTGCTAGAAAAGCAAGAGTCTATATACATGTATATCAATATTATACACACACAAACATAACACACAGGTTTCTGAAAAACATCCACAACATGTTCAGTTGCTTCTTCTGTCCAAAGATTTGGAATGACCAGCTAATTACTGTTATTTCTCCCACAGCAGAATATAACTGACTTCAGCTTGGAAACTGCTTCAAGCCAATTTAAAGCATTTAAGAAGCAATCTCTGCCAATACATTAATTCAAACAAAGTGGTTGGTCTCAGATCATAATTTCCAAATCTTTAGCTAAGAAAAATCCAGCAATGTTGGATTTTTTTCTTGCATTAAGTGTGCTTATCCTCCTTAAGCCTTGCTTTGTTTTTATTATTTTTATTAGGTACAAGGGGAAAACCATCCTTACAGGTGGGTTTTTATCTAGTTACTTAGTTTTCTAAAGAACAGATTTTGTTTTATCATCTCGATTGCTGATAATGAGTTCTCTAGGGCTTCCACTTTACACAAACATACAAGTTAAGAAGAATACTGATTTGCACTACTGAACATTATCTATCCTGTTTATGCCTGTTTGGCTACAGCTAAGGGGTAGTATTCCCACAAGGGATTTCAAAATAACTACTTTCTAATTTTGCATTTTTTAACAGATAAATTCTTCTGCTGATTCAGTCTGAGACCGACTGCCTTTACTTGCTGGCTTGAGAACAATTTTGATCTCATCTGACAATGAAGAATATTCTTTAATAAGCCCTGAACTGCTGTCATGTCTTGGCATAAATACAGTAGCCTCCTTTGCTGCCTGAGGGAATTCCATTTGTCTTCAGAGGACCTTTTGGTAGATACAAAAAATCGACCTACTTTCCCCACAGTATAGAAATAATAATTTTAATATCTCTTTTTTTGTCTTCTGTGTGACATTTTGGCAACTAAGTCCCTTGCATATAATATTCCTATATTCAGACAGGAGAAGGTGACAAGACTCATCTACTCATAAAAAATAGAAATGATCACAACTGCCACAAAAAGCACACACTCAAAGGTTAGCAAATGCATACACTGTTACTACATGCTTTTAATTACTCTTTTGGAGGAAATTCTCATATGAAATTTTCCCTGTTAAGTCATCCATTGAGAGCAAAACAAAGCACATGCTCAAATACACCACCTCTAGCTCTGGAAAAATCTTTGAATCACGAGGAGCAAAAGCTAGTGAGACTCTGGAAAACTGCCAATACATAGTTTTCTTGTTTACACTTTTCCAGTCATCTGCTACTAGCCAATGTCAGGCAGGAAACTAAGCAAGACACGTCTTTGGATTGGCTTTATCCAGCTATTCTTATGACATTCGTTTACATGCAAGTTTAAAAAATTATTTGCTTATCCTCTCATCAATGGCTTTAACTTTTTCAAGATAATTAATACGAGGAATTAATTTTAGAAAAAAGCCTTCTTACACTTTCCAACAAACCCAAGCAAAAACACATCCAAAAGTAAGACCACAGAAAACATGTAATTTATTTTCTTCATTTGTCACTTTCTTTCATGTTTTTAAGAGCCCTCAATTAATTCTCAGTGCTCATTGTCACAGGATTTGACTTATATTAGATTCACTTCATTTGAATGAGCACTTGAAGACTTAGAAACAAACTATCATCAAACCTCCCTTTTGCAGTTATTGCCAGCCTTGGAAAGTAGGAGGTGGAAAAAGACCTAGAAATCTCTCCACTTCATCTCATTAAGGAAAGACTGGCTGCGATCCAGTGGCCAAAACAAACACCCATGTAACATCACATCCTTTCTCCAGAAGCTGCCAACAGAAAATGGTTGGGAAAAACACGACAACAGGGCGAGTATTTTAATGATACACACAGAGAACATTCTCTCACCCTTCACCACTTCAGTGCTCAGAAACTCACTGAGCTAGTAGCCCTTAGCACTTAAAAGCCACTGATAGCTTTTCTTCTATGAATTTGTCTTGTAATGTTTTTAACTCACAAACTTTTTAGGTGCTGCAGTGTCCTCCAACATGAAAATCAACAGCTTGCTGCTGTTAGCATCAACCCTAGAGTCCTGTATTCCCCAATTTCAAACACACTAAGTGCTCAGGTCTTTAAACTTAAATGTAATCTGTGTATATACTCAAAAAATCCCCACACAGCTACTCTGTGTTTTGCATTTATTAAATGGAAGTTAACATACTTAGGAATTCCTTAGTGCTAGAAATACAATCCAAACCATTATCAGGAACTTGACAATTTCCCTTAACGCAATACACACAAGGCATCTTAAGTCCAAATCTAAACTATATTTGAAACAGTTAATACAGAGCAATATTTCACTTAAGAAGTACCCAAGGATGGCAAGTAGGACATACTGATTTCCTCACTAAAGTAGAAAACCTAAACCTACTAGAGGTAATACTAATAACATCCAAAAGTCACATTTTATTATACACCTTTGAAAACATGACTTGTATTTTCTAAATATTTACCATTTGCTAATCCCTTTAACTGGATTAATAATAACACAACAGCACTTATGGCATGGCTAGTCACAGCATTCAGATTTATTATCTTTTTAATATCAGCCAACTGGTTACAAAAGGGTTTGCCCTAAGAATTGCAAAAGGCAGTTTCCCATAATCATCTTGTCAATGTGCATGACATGCCAACACTATGAATCAACTCACCTGCACTTAAAATACTGTGTTCCTTCATAGCTACCATCATGCTTTCCTCTCTGAGGATCATCCCATTCCACACCAAGCCAAATTCCTGAAAAGTACAGTAGATACATTTTCAGACTGATGGCATCATACCCACAGAAACCATGGCTGGAAGGAACCTCTGAAATTCATCTAGCCTAACCTCCTCCCTCAAAGCAGGAGATGATAACCAGCACTAAAACAGGGCAGCCAGGTAAGTCTTTACCTAGCCAGATTTTGAAAATCTCCAAGCAAAGAAAGACTCCAGCTTATCTGGGTAGCCTGTTCCAGTGATGCATTACTTCTCTGGAGAAAAAGATTTTCCTGCTATCCAGTTTGAACATTCCCAGCCAATTTGTGGCCACTGTCACTTAGTATATAACATATTACTAGGAAGAAGACTTTGGCTCTGTCACCTTTGTAAACATCTGCTAAACAGCTGCAGGCAGCTATTAGATGCCACTTAACCTTCTCTTCACCACGCTAACCAAGCCCGGATACCTCAACTGCTTTCACATGTATGTGGTCTATGGCCTTGACCACCTTGGCAGCTCTCTGCTGGATCCTCTCAAGTTTGCCCACGCCCCTCTTGATTTGGGATGGTCCCAAACCAGATACATCATTCCAGCTGCAGTGTTATCAAGAGCCCCATGTTCACCATTCTAAAGTAACCCAGTACAATGCTTATCTTGCTTGCGACAGGCGCTCGCTGTTGTTCATATTCACCTTAACTCCCAAGTCCTTTACAACAATCCCTGTGGGTTGCCAGTGTTTCCTGTCTGTACTGATACATGGGTTCATTTCACACCACATGTGGAAAGTTATCCTTCTTGAGCCGCTTAGGTCCAAAGCTAAAGTTCATAAAGCTTGCTCTGGATTGCAAGTCTACTGTTTGTCACATCAGCCAGCTGAGGGTGAATGCTGTTCACTATCTGAGGCACTCACTGACTGACGTGTTAAACAATACGGATCCCAGCTGTACTTATTTCTGTCGTGCTCGTGCACTACCAGACACCAAGTCACTGGTTAGCACTTTGCCACTTAACAGACCTTCCAAGCATCAGCAATCTCCCCACCCTGTCATCACAATTTTTTGAAGATTTTGTATAGTGCTCTCACAATAAGACTGGCCAGATCTCTCAGGAAGCTGGGCTAAACCTTTTTTGTACCCATGAATTTGAATATGTTATCAAAAGAGTGACTAGTCTGTTGACCTGCTGCCTGTCTCTTTCTTCCCCTGGCTATGCCAGGATACAGAGATCAGGGAACAGACCATTCATGAAAACTAATGGAAAATGGAAAGCAATAGGATCTTTCCACTCTTAAGAAAAAACTTAATTTCCAACAAAAGTACTTCTTACACTCCTTTTGACAACTCTGACTTCTAAAAAAAACCCAGCAACTTATCTAGATCAGAAATTGCCATATTTACATAAGAACAACAAGGAAAAAACAATTTGTAAATTGGCATGCTCTACTTGACAATTTCTTTTTAAATCAAGCCCACAATTTTGAAAACAACCACTAAATAGAAACGTCGATTGCTATTGGGATGTTCACCTGCTGTAGAAGAAACACTGCCAACGTAGCGCACAGTCGCATACTCCGTGCCACACAAGATTCTTCGACCCAGCGCATCGGGAGGCAC